ATTTATTGATGTTCATCAACAAATGGGAGTCACTGAAAAGGCAAGGTAAAAATAGCTAAAAAGTAGACCAGTTGTGGCAGTTTCTTTATACTTGCGCTGTTTCTGAATGGCTGGTGCTCAGAAAAGGATTCACCTCTCATAACTTTAGCTGACTGAAAAATACAGTGTTTAATCTTTGTCTCCCTCCTATAAAACCAATCAAAAGTGGAGGGCATTGTGTTTCACATGAGATGAGACAATCTTTAGAAGCGCCTCCCCTTTTTCTCTGATTCTAGATGCTGATTAGGATCCTAGCTTTCAGAATACTAAAAATGAGGTGAGATGAGTGTTTGTAATTCACTTACATTTCCATGGTTATTACTGACTGAAGATGCTAGAGATAACTGATCAGGTTTCTGCAAGAACTGGATGCTACTGACTGAAAACAGTAATAGCATCAGACTTCGCAAAATTAAAAATATTTTGTAAAATAGCTTATGTCTTATCAAAAGATCCTTTTTTCTTCCATTAGTATTTTAAAGTATTGGTTTTGCATAAAACATGTAGCACTTGATGGCTTTTATTTAAAACAACTGAAAATGATTTGGTTCAATACACAATTTATTTAAAAAAAAAAAAATCCACTACACTGAAGTAATGTGTCAGTTGTGGAATGTAGTAGATTAGTATTGATGTATTACTTGTGCAGTGTCTCCTGTGCATCAAGATAAAGGATGATAGGCATTTTTTAAATGGAACATAAAATGTGAAAGACATTTTGAACTACATGGAAAACACTTATTAAACTGTGCCACATTTACTTTTGCACATATTTATAGTACCAACATATATAGCAGTCTTCAGTTCTGATCCTGGAGAATTTTCAGATATAAACTGTTATTTATGGATAATAAGAATATTTCTAAATAATTTTTTATTTTCAAGTTTGCTTGGATTCTCTGGAATTGGATGTAGAATGAGTAGCAGTTTCTCTTTCCTGGCATTTCTATGAAAACCTATGCACATGGCTAAATTTAAGATTTACTTACATTGAATTCATGTGCTCTGTATGGCACTTACTTAGAATTGACTTAATCCAGAAAGACTCTGGAATTGAAATAAGCTCCTTAGATGTTAGCGCTGAGCATTTGGACAATACTCCAGACTTAAAAATAATAACAAAAATATAAAACACTGGACAATTGTGTTAAAACAAATAAAAATCTCTAAAAAATATGAATTTATAACTTGATAAAACTTGTGACAGCGGTCCTCTCAATGCCTAAATCATTTTTGAAAATAAGGCTTCTAAGTCAGTTACATATTGTGTTTTCTCAATTTCATATAACTTACATGTTTTCTGGCAAGTCCTCCTGTTTTTCAAAATTCTTCATTCTTCATTTTTTTTTTTAATGTAATTGCTTTATAATGCAAATGACATGAGCTTTCTTTTCCCATAGAATGCAAACATTTAAAAAAGGCTCAATTTGCTTGTGCATAGAGCTACGAGATGGCACAGGAAGAGGAAACTATTAACACTCTCTATGTCCAGTGATATTGTGTTTTTTTTAACTGATTGCTCTTCATATGAACCAGATTTTAAAGGAATGTATTACTATGTGATGAAGTTACCTAGCCTTTGCAATTGATCAGATGCAATTTCTGCAGAAATTTTCCCCAAGTAAGATAGAATTTTCCTTTTGAAAGTAATAAAAATTTATTACCTGAATATGTTTTAATTTTAGCAGTTTACAATGCTAATAAATAGGTTGACACTAATTTAAATCTCACTTACATTGATTTAACTAAATCTCTTCATACCTGGAATCACTGAACATAGTATGAAAGTCTAGAAGTAAAAGCCACATTTTACTGTCACTGTACATATGACTTCAACTTAAGTATGTTTATTGATTACATTTGCTGGAAGATTGTTATTTGTAGCAGTGGATGTATGTACTTCACTCCAAAAGTAATGTCGTCTTATTTATTTCTGTGTAAACTACAACAGATCCAAAGAGCACAATAACACTATTTAACAGGGAAAATTCACATCTATAAAACACTATTTTTCAACATAACTGTAAGCTGTCCGTTTTTGCTAGTACTGAACATGAGCCTGCGTGCCATACTGGTAAAAATCTGCACCAGCAGAGGCGAGCACTGTTTCACAGCTGCTATGACAGTATCATTACAAGGAAAATGTTGCCCACACAGTCCATCTTTCATCAGCCCAAACAAATAGAAAATAAGAGGGCACCTAATCCAGACTACGCAGTGGGTGAAATATTAAAGTTCAGTCGAGATTGGCATTGTGCTTCACAGTCTCTAAACTCATATTGAGCTGGCATTATTGTCTTGAAGAAGAAAGGTTGTCTTCTCTGGTATGATTGTGGAAGTTTGAGTTTTCAGCTTAGTCAGCGTTGCAGTGTAGCAGTCAGAGTTGGTCCAGGTTCCAAGACACCCAGAAAGATCACCCTTTTCTGATCCCAAAAGACAGTGCACATCACTTTAACTGCTGTGGGCTGCATCTTAAACTTTTCTTTAATAGTGAGTTCACACGTTGCCACTTCATGGACTGCTGTTTTGATTCTGGCACATAATGGTGATACCAAATCTCATCAGTGGTAATGGTGCAATCCAGGAAACTGTCACCTTCAGTCTTGTATTGGTTTAATAGGTCCTGACAAACTTTCATATGGTGTTCTTTCTGTTCTTGTGTGTTCATTCATGGGACCCACCTGGCACAAACTTTGTGATACTCCAGTGTTGCCACTATCATTTCTGATGCACTGAAGCTGGTATTCAGCTTCGTACACAGTTCCCTAGTTGTAGTCTGTCGATCCATGTGAATGAGCTGATCAAGACACTTCATTTCATGATGTGATAGCTGTGCATGACCATCCGGAGTGTGGCTTGTCTTTCATGTCACTGTTACCACTGCTGAAATGCACCACCCACTGCCTTGCTGCGCTTACATCCACTGTTTGGTCTCCATAAATATTCAGAAAGCATCAATGAGTGCCAATGGGTGCAGTTTTTCCTCATGGAGGAATTCAGTTCCACACCTTTGCTTCATATGCACTTTCATGTCAGACACCATTTTGTCAGACTGACCCTCTGCTGCTATCTGTCACACGATAAAAAAAATGCCATGGAATGTTGGCAGGAAGGTTCAACCTCTACTACCATACCACCAGTATCCAACTCTGATATCATGGGCCAACATAATAAAATAAGAGCCATAACTTTTGGAGCAGTCTTCATATAGAAAAGATAAGCCATCTCCTAAGGACAGTAAGAATACTTGTTATATTATCTATTGTTACCTCTGTGTAAGCAAGAAAAGCTGCAATTGTAGTATATGCATCATTTCACTTTAGAAAAAAAATAGAATTTCAGGAATATAAAGGATCTCGATATAGAATGACATTTTTTCCTTCTGTTAAACAGGAAAAAGATTATACAAAAATATTTTAATTGGGTTATTTTACTTTTTTTAAAAATCTTTAAATACAAATCAGATATATCTTCTGACCTTCAGTTTGCCAGAGCAAATGGTGTCAGCAGAATCTTTACAGAACTGCCATGTAAGGCAGTGAAGCTGGTGAAGGATCTGGAACACAGGTATTTAAAGGAGTGGCTGAGGGAACTGGGAATGCTTAGTCTGGAGAAGAGGAGGCTCTGGTGAGGCCTTATTGCTCTCTACAGCTCTCTGTGTGAAAGAAGGTTGTGTTGAGGCGGCACTCAGTCCTCAGTAATAAGCAAGAGGATGAGAGGTAATGGCTTCAGCAGAGCAGGTTCAGGCTGGATATCAGGAAAAAATTATTCTCAGAAAGAATGGCTAAACATTGGAAAAGACTGCCCAGGGAGGTGGTGGAGTCACCATCCCTGGAGGTGTTCAAAAAACATGTAGATGTAGTATTGAGGAACGTGGTTTAGTAGGTGCTGATGGGTTGACAGTTGGACTTGATGAACTTAATGGCCTTTTGCAACCTTAATAATTTTATGATGCTATGTAAATTGGGTTTGGTCATGATATAGGCTGTGGCATGACTGGTCAACTGAAGCGTTTCATCTTAAAATCACCTAGCTTTCTTTATTATTCTGTCCTGGAACTGTTTTTACACTTATGTGTTAAGGCCCTATTGTGGAATTTCCAAACTTTCACCTGTTTCAACAGCTTCACTTGTAAAGCTCCCTCCTGATCTCCAGCTGTTCAGTTCATAACTCCAAGGCTCCCTTCAAATCTCCAGCTGGCTGTCACTGGGAGGCAGTAGTTTAAGGTATTAAAGAACCTTTCCTTATGCTGAGGGATGAAATCCTCCTGTGTGTTGTATGAGTTCACTGTGTAAACTGAAGAAATTCGGTAATGTGGACTTGAAATTAAGGAATCCAATTGTTTTCTTGATATGTTTATTTTCCTGTTCAAATTATACTTTATTAATAAAAAAATATATATTTCAGAAGAGGAAGTACCTGAAAGTTGATAGCTGAGGTCCAGCCACTGAGTCTTCCTATGCCCACTATTCTTGTTTTCACTTGATATCAAATCACTGTTTTTGTCCATTATGCTGAGGTGTACTTTGGCTCTTACTGCCCTCTGCAGTGGCAATCTGTTCTGGTTATGATATTGCTTTGTTGCTTGCCAGATGTGTCGTTGTTACAATTCAGAAACAAGGCATCACGTTATGTTGCGTTCTCAGTGAATTTATTTTTGCAGAAGGCCAGATCATAATGTGTAGTATTTCTGTACCATGTCTGCTCAGAAAGGGTTTGTGATCTCTAGACTGAAGGTGGAGCCACCCTATAGCAACTTCCTCTACCCCTATTGTTTCTGAAGTATTTTCTAACATTGATCAGCCACCAAGGCATTAGGGCATTGCACCAGGCTGTTTGAAATTTTCATTATTATTGCTGCTAGCCCAGCAAAGAGAGACCTGGTTTTAGTTAACTGCATTGTATCCTTTCCAAGCACCTGGCGAAGAAAACACATCACAGAAAGTAAGACAGGTTCTATCATGGAGAAACAGTAAGTTCATCTGAGCCTGATCACCTTTAGGTGCTCCTTAAGTTTTCCCTTGATTTTAGCCAATCCCTCAGTCACACTTTCTTGTTTGTCATCTTATAGCTATTAAAATTTATAATTACTGATCAAAATAATGATTAGAAGTGAGTGCTGCAGCATATACCTAAAAACTGTTCTAAAAATACACTTCTCACTAGGCTGAATGAGGGGAAAAAGCCCTGCATTGTGAAGAGTTTTACTTTGCAACAGAAATAGCTGTCTTTGAAATGGCCTTCAGAACTGTCGCATTTACACCTGACTGTCAGGCTTGCAATACTTTCATCTTGAGTTGTTTGGCTGTCTTATTCTTGACTGCTTTTACAATAATCTCTGCAGAAATGTGCAGTGATTAGTACAATGTGTATTTCCTGGGAATTATGACTCATTCCAGAATGAGCAGTGCATGTGAGGGATATTCAGTGCACCTAGATTTCAGCAACCAACACTGCTCCCCAGGTTAGGAAACTTATATGTCCTATATATAAATGTGGGAAAGAGACCCTTCTATTGCAGAGTGATTCAGAGCAAGGGCTTTTGCGTGAGCTGAATTGCTCTGCTAAGCGTTTGTCCTGCTGAGCTAACCATGTAGGAATAGCACTGCAATTCAAGGTGCTACCTAGTTGGTCTGTTTAACTCTTTTGGAACTTCAGGGAGATGAGTTCATAGAAGTTCAACATATGATATGCTCAAAGGGGGTTGTCAATTTATTCACCAGTAGTGAGAGCAGAGAGTACCATATACTTTCCTTCAACGACTTTCCCTGAGTGACTTCTCAGACTTGTGTCACTTACTTCCTGGGGCTTCTCTCTCTCTTTCCCTGACTCATCATGCCAGTTGGAGCAGCTGATAACAACCCTGCAAGCTAAACTCTGAGGGCAGCTTGCAGTGGAGAGCAAATCACCACTCCAGCTTGAGGAAAGCAGTAGGAGGAGCTGAGTAACACAGCCCACTCAAAGTCCAGTACTGATTGGGTCAAGGTGTCCAACTGAAATCTGTGACAGAGTAGGGATTAAACCTGAGGTTGTTGACTTGTAGACTAATTCTGGACCACTTCAAGCCACTTCTTCCACTCCTGTAGTTTGTTATAGGCTTTGTTGCACCAGCAGGGTCTGTGTATTACTGCACTGTTCCTGAGGGTGCAATATATAGCATAGTTATGCTACAAACTCCTCTCAGGCAGTAGGAGTTTCTGGCTACAGAGGCCTGTTCCATTTGCTTCTGGGTAGTACCCATCTCCACAGCAGAATAGAAATGCAGTTCAAGTCTCCTTCCATACAATACAAAGGACAGCAGTGATTCTTAAATGAATACTAGTTTAACTCCTGATGCAAAGCAGGAGAAATTTGTTCCTCCTACATTCAAGACTGCCTGGGAATAATGTTCTTCAACAGTCTCATCAGTCTGCTTCTCATTCCTCCTGCAGGTGAGATGCCTCACCCACCAGGCATTGCTCACTTTTGGAGCTTCCACTTTGTCTTCTCAGTGTGGTTCTGCGTGTAGAGCATGGGCAAGACTCATGAGGGCAATAAGGAACCAGTCCAAAACAGTACTTTTAGAGATATCCTATTTGCTCAGCTAATAACACATATTTTCCCTGAGTAAGGGATACAGCCTTTTCTTGAGCCTATTATGAAGGGCCATTAATCTACATATTTGCAGACTATGGTAAACCAGCACAAACTTTGGCAAATGTTGTAGAAAGCAACACATGACCCAACTTCTGGAGGTGGGCCACCTCTGAATGAAAAGCCCTGGCAGCACCATGCTCTCAGCAAAGTTGCGTAAGCTTGATGCAGCTCCTTGAGTGGAGCTGGTGCTGTGCAGTGACTTCAACACAGAGGGAGCACAGGTTTGTCTGCAAAACACTGTGCACATACATCCAGAACCTATCAGTACATTCTTCTAAATTCCGGTACAAATTTTTCTTGGACATAAGGCTATAGTTTTATTAAAGTGTATGTCTGTTGCAGACAAATTAATTTTTTTTTTTTCTCAGTACAACCTTCAGAGAAACAGGATCACCATCAATGACAGATCCTGTACAAATTTCTCTGTGTTGCTTCTTTTCTATTTGTCACTTTTAATGATATTTGTAACAGCTGGGACGTGTACAGCTGTTTCTACCTTCATGTTACAGAAAACTGTAGAGGATTTGGCAGAGTTCAACAGGGCATCATGAGTCACACTTCCCTTTTCAGTGTATTTTTGGAACTATCAGAAATCTTTTAAATATATTCTGACAATGTGAAGAAGTAAAAGCTGCAGTTCCCTCACTTTGATTTAACTGAATCTTGAAAGACAAGGATGGGTGAAGGTGAAGGTGAAGGAGAAGACACAGAAACAATGCTGCCTTGACTCATTTTCTGGTCCGTAGTAGGTTGATGTTTCTGGCCTTTAGCTGCTTCAGTTGCTTGCTGAGTGTGGCTGTGAAATCTATTGTCTCCAACAAATGATTTCTGATAAGAAGAGAGAAAATTGGTTATTTTGGTTCACAATGTCTACGTGCATGATAGTAATGAAATTTCAGCATAGATGTCAACAGCACTAAAGTGGTTGCTGTTTAGTAAGCGAAGCACTAGAACTGCCCTTGAGGGGTCTGTGCCCTTTGACAGCAAAGCAGAAAAATATTGTGTTCTGCAAATCTGCTCTGCTGCACTCCGAAGTGGAGAATGTAATCTGTTTTAACAAGCACTACTGTTCTCATAATGTCAGCTGAAGAGGATTACAAGAGAATCAATTTTATGTAATTAAACTTCCTTGGCATGAATAAAGATTGTTTCCCTAAAAGAGAGGAAAAAAAAGAAAAAAGAAAAAAGTCTCTAGCTACATTTCCCTCCCTTTTTGCAGGGCTGTTGTTAACTTCCTGCATTTCATTAAAAATGGTCATTGAAACAAATCTGGGAAATATCACTCTTACTGAGGCTCAGTAACATCTTCCCATACTGAGTGTGTAACTATTTAACCAGAAAACCTAACTTAGCAGATGTCTTGTATTGGATCATTCTTTGGCAGTGAAAAATAACAGACTAGTACAGCTTGATGCAGTACTGCTGCTCCCACATCTTTCCCTCACGTGCATGTTGATAGGTCTTTCTCAAAGTCATACTGATGTTAGATGTGTTCTTTGGACATAAAACGACCTTCGTGCAGGAGCAAAGAACAAATTCCTTCAACTGCCCAAACATAATTTTCTACTGCAGCTGTTAAAAGGATGGAGATATAAATAGAAGCATGGGTTATGGAGGGGAGAGGTTTCTCTTGAGGGGATAGGATTCTGCCTACACCTCTGGCTTCAAATGCAACCATGTCTTTAGCTGGTAAATGGAAAAATCAAGCAGTGGCAGACCCTGCAAAGCTAAAGAGTTAATTTAAGTCTTTATATTACCTCAGGCTTTTAAATGTAGCCTGAGATGTATCAGTCCAAGAATTGTCTCACAGAGTTGTTGCAAGGATTCAGCGCTACCAAGATAGTTCTTGCAGCACAAGTGTGTTGCAAAGGAAGGAGAAGATCCTTTCTGGAGGGTGTCTAAATGCTTTATATCAGGTCTTTCCCTTTTGGTAATGCTTCTTTGTGTTCCATGTTTTCTCTGCTTCAGGATACTTAAACACATGCAGAATTACAGCCTGTTTATGGATTCATTGTTGGAACAAAGACCACAAAGCTGTACTGGCTCCTACAGTGAATTCTTACATGCTTGTGCCTTGATATTAAAGTTGCAAAATTAGTCATCTGTAGTGAATAGGAAACTCCTGCCTTTGTGCTTACGGCAGTGGAAGAGTTTTAGTGGTAACTGGCTCATGCCTGTGGGAGGGAGAAGCTGCTCTGCTGCTGGCACCTGGGTGAGGACAGACACTGTGTCACTCTCAGAGAATCGTCATTAGAGATGAGAGAAATAGAGAGAAGTGCTGGATGAAGTGCACTCATGCCTGCATGATTGCATTCAGTTTGGGAGAACATCACCTGCCTTTGTGAGCCTTTTCAGGCTGGCAAGTGACAAATAAAGCCAAGTGGGTGCCTGCCCGTCTCTGTACCTCTGCATCCCCCTCAGCACCCAGCCTGCCTGCACTGAGCCAGTACCCAGGAAGCAGGAGATGTTTGTGGAGTGGGTACAGGCCATGACCTCTGCAGTAAATTTTTTTGAGTGAGCTCAGAAGATACTTAGCTTGCTCCATCAGTGTTACTTTTGTTCATTCTAGCTTTCCACATTAGTGTAGCTGCCTTTTTCTCCACTCCACACTTCATTGTATGTTGAAGGCCTTGTTTGAGTAGAAAAATCCTGTCTGCTTTTACTCACGCCATATGTCTCAATGTCAAAATTACAGAATTTCCTTAATCTTGTATGGAATCAAGATGAAAAACGATTGTGTTTCACACTAGGGTTTTTTTGCTGACTCAGTTTACCAAAGTGTCTGTTCAGTAATACCAAGGGGCATGCAGTCTTATCAGGAGATTCAGTTTACTTAGTAGTCTTTTGTGTTTGTGCCATATTGTGCATCTGAGCTTGATTTGATTTGGTTTGTGAACTCTGCTGTTCCTTATCCAGTTTCCCTTTCCCCAGTTTTCCCCCACATCCTAAACAAAATCCAATTAATATAAATTGTAAAGTGCATTTTCCGCTGTTTTCACTGTGTTTAGCAATGCATTTTTTTCTTGGATAGACGTGAATCCAATTTGGGGTAGGAATTTTCTTGCTAATTTCTGTAAGACTGCATAACATTTTTTCCCTTGATTAAAAGAGAGAGATTATTTCATTTTGGCTTAGTTTTGGCTGGGATGGAATTCTTTTCTTCAGAGTATGATGCCATGTTTTGGTTTTAGGACAAAAGCAATGTTAACACACTGATGTTTATAGTTGCTGCTAAGCAGAGTTATGCAAAGCCAAGGCCATTCTCAGCAAAGGGCTAAGAAACTGAGATGGAACAGAATTAGGACTGCTGATTTAAACTGGCCAAAGGGATATTCCATGCCATCTGACTTCTTGTGGAAGGAGTTCTGGAGGGGTTGGGCATTCATTGCTCTTCTGTTGCTCAGGGGCAAGCTAGGCATCAGTAGGGGGTGATGAGCAATTCCTTGTGCATCACTTGTTTTATACACACACACACACATTATAATTGTTATCAATTTCCTTTTTTCTATCTTAGTAAATAGATTTGTCTCAACACACAAGTTCTACTTTGTTTGTTTTTCTTCGATTTTCTTCCCCATCTCACTGGGAAGTGAGGGAATGAGCAAATGACAATTTGTTGCTGAGCCACTGCAGGGTTAAACCACAATGCATTTTAAGATAAACTTTACTGAAATTTAATCCTAATAAAAAATATTTAAACTTTTAAAATCTGTTTCTAATTTATACTTTTTTTTTCCTTTAAAGTACAAGAAAATTCTTCTGGACTAGGATGTATTTCACATACTCCAGTGGTTCTGTAGCACTTTGCTCAACAGTCTGACCAGCTCAGCCATCATTACTAAGCTAGAAGTGTTACCATCCTGAATGCTCTGTCAGTACTAAAAAAAAAAAAAAAAAAATCCTGTTCTGTTGTTCAAACATTCATGTATTTGGATTCTGAACATTGGAAATATGTGCTATTTTGGCTGAATTGCTGTTGAGGTGATTACAGATGCAAGATATACTGTTTCCTTACATCAAGAACATTTATTCTGTGTTTTCTAGATTTGAACGTATTCATACAAAGAAAGGGAACTACAGTAAGTCACTAGTTTCAAACCAAGAAGATGTAGATGATTTAGCAACCTTGGAGGTACTGGATGAGGTAAGAACTTTCTTTCTCATGTTTTTTGAGATGTAATTGGATATTAAAACATAGTGTCATGCACTTCAATTGTGTAAGTGTACAATAGCATTTCACTTTATGCCAAACAATTTTAGATGAGATTTTTCTGGAATGGTTCCAACTGTATGGTAAAACGCTTTCTGAAGATAAAAGCTCCAATTGAGTAGTATAGTAGTACCATTTGTTTAACTGGATGTATATCACTGGATTTTATTCCAGCTAAATAGCTGATTTTTAATTATACGTTAACTTGAAAATTGATCCAAGTCCAAGAACAAGCACATTCTCACCTGTTGCTTGTACATACAGAGTTGTCCTAAACTAGCTTACCATACTATTCCTAGGCTGGGTTCTCACTGACTTTCTTTGGTGCAGAGATACATTGAGATCAGTTTATGTCAGCTGAGGCTCTGCCTTCCTCAGGAACCCCATTGGTTTGTCAAAGATCAAAAGTGAGTCTACTATGAGGTTGGGAAGCATGCATAAAGATGGAGAGAAATCTGCTGTGTTTATAGCTTAAAGTTCAAAAACAGGAAGAAGAATCAGGCCACCACACATTATCTTCAGGTGATAGAGGCCATCAGTGGTTGTAAACAGTCATTCTTCCTCTATCAGGCTGTACATAAATAAACTGGTACAGACTAAAGCACTACTTATTAACTAATTTTTCTATAGCCACTTGGGGATTGATAAGTATACCTTGTTCAAAGGGAGTTTAGACACAAGCGATTATGAATGCCAGGGTATTTGAAAGTATTACTTATCTGTGATCAAGATAATGTGTATTCCTGGCTATTAAAGCCTTCTTTTTCTCTCGTCTTCACTCATTGTAACTATATTAATATTCTGTCTGTTTTCCTTATATTATTTTTTTCTCCCTGTGAGACAGTGTTCTTTTTTCTCCATCAGAATACAGTGACAGAGCAGTTGCAGAAGAGTTATGCCAAGGATCAGATCTACACGTATGTTGGGGACATTCTCATAGCTGTCAATCCATTTCGGAATGTAGACATTTATTCTTCACAGGTGTGAAAATTTAGTTTGATTCTTTTCTGCTGACACTTATTTCCAATAAAATATGACTGTTCATAAGTATAAAGTAAAACTGTTCTTGAGATTTATTTCAATTCACTCTGAAAAAGAAGAATTACCAGTACAGTAGTCCTTTTAATTTCACATTGATACACATCCCTATTGTGTTGAATTTCAACATACAAATGAGAAACTAAAAAAAACAAATAAAAACCTCTCAGGTATCTTTACATCTACAGATGATTTATATCATGTCTTAAGTGCAGATGGCTATATCTGAGCAAGTCACCTATTTTGATCAATAGATAGAAAAAGAATTTTTGAGGTCACTGTTCTTTCAGTGACTTTCAGTGTTCATTCTGGGTTGAGATAAATTGCACAAAAATTCATGAGATTTGTTGACTAGGCCACCACTACTATGAGCAGTTAGTTCACAAGTAGTATTTGTACAGATGCATACATTAATTTGCCTGAATGTTATTCCTTTTGGTAGGAGGGAGCATTCCTCCTCCTCCATTTCCTGTGGAGAACTTCTGCCAAATGGTTGGAGGTAGAAGGTGGAGACATTTCATCCCAGAAGAGCTGTGGAAACCATATCTGTTTAATTGATCTGACAGTTCACAAAGCTATTAAGTAAAATTTTAACTTTTGTAAATTTGGCCTTTCACTATACAAAGGGAACAGATACCAAATTTTGGGTCGTACATAATTTGCCATTGTTAATTATCAGTTACTTTTCTGAAGTTTAGACATCAGTATCATGCAGAAAAAGCAAGAGGATATAAAGTGTAATTTCATTTTAAATTAAATAAATAACGCAACATTATATTTATTCTAATAATTCAAGTTTCATGGCATAAAGCTGAAAGCGTACAAAATTGTTTTTTATCTTTTTTAGCAGTTCTTATAGTACTAAATGCAGATCCACAGTATAGTGAGTGTTCACTCAGAAACAGCAATAGTGCTCAGAAGGACAATGTGCACTAATTTGAAAATGAAAGATAAGTGAAAAAAAGTCATTAAGGAGACATAGATAATGTTTTCATTTTTCTTATGCTTAGCATTCCAAACTGTATATTGGAGCCAAACGGACTGCCAACCCTCCTCATATTTTTGCTGTTGCTGACATTGGTTATCAGTCCATGGTGACATACAACTCTGATCAGGTAAAGATGAGGTGATCTATTTATATCTGTTACTAGGCTGAGATATATGTAATGAGCTCAGACTTACGGTCTTGTTCTCTGCAGTGCATCGTTATTTCTGGGGAAAGTGGAGCTGGCAAGACACAAAGTGCCCATCTTCTAGTTCAGCAGCTCACTGTCCTGGGCAAGGTATGATTCAGTGGGGAAATGCTTCTGTACGGCTTTGGTATCTGAGATCTAATTGAATGACTGAATCAGGGGCAGGACACTGTTAGAGGACCAAGACAGTAAACATTTTCCTAAGAACTCCTATGAGTACCCATTCCAGTGAGGGCTTATGCCAGTTTAGTTGAATGTCTTCGTATAACCCAAACTGTTAAATAAAATTATCTTAGAGCTTTTTGCCTCTCACCACAACCAGTTTGCTGTCACTTGGATGTGTTCATTCTGGGAAGTAGCCACCATAATTAGCAGAATGGGATTTTGCATTTCCCAAGTGATATGCTAGCAAACTGTTCTACTGGTGTGGTGCAATGCAGCTTTAAACAGATGGCAACATGGATTGTAAAAGCAGGCAAGCCATGTCAAGTAACGGACCACAGAAACTGATTAGCCCTGGATTGTGTATTTCCACTTTCAGCCAGCCATTCATTCTGCAGGATGCTATATTGTGACATGCTTCATGGTATATGCATGCCTTTCTTTCCATATGCTTTATGTAGGAATGACCACTCCGATTATGAGTCGCTTATTCAAAATATAGTGGACAGCCAAGTATGTGTCAGTTTGTGAAAGTCAGTTGTATCAAAGGCTACATGTATATGAGCAATGGCACACTCTATTTGAGATGTAAGGACTCTATTCATTCCATTGCATTTTGATGCCTTCTTGAATCTGCAGGGCCATGTTTCTTTGAGATCCATGGGAAGGAAGGGACCTGGGTATCTGATGAGGAAAATTAGCTGATCAGTGTGATTGAAAAAAACTCAAAGATAGCTTTTGTCCATACAAGGTGAAATATTTTTCCCTCTGAAATCTTACATCCCTTATTCCAATGAAAAACTCCTACAAGGTATACCTACATGTTTAAATGAAGGAGTGTACTCAGCTGTTTTTGTGTGAGCTGGCTTTCATCTCATTCATGCAGTTGCAATTGGAGTGAAAATGAGGATGACAGGGTCCAATACCCATGTGGGTACAATCTGTAATTGCTAGTCTGTGCCACAACACCTGTGCTCTTTTCACGCACACTAATGAGTCAAGGTGTGAGATGTGCCTTACCTTGTTACAGAAACAGTTTGATCTGTTCTTTGACTGTAGCAAAGCAGCAAGATTAGATGAATGGCTGAATGAATAACAGATAGCACACCCATTTGTTCATTTCTGTTCAGAAGCTTATGTCCAGCTTCAAGTATTGAAGCAGCCCCATTGAGATAATGCTCACGAAGCAAAGTCTGTGTGTAAGGGTTGTATTGCATGGGGTTCACTCACTGATACAGGAAAAAAAAAGAAAAAGATCCAAATGCAACATTTTGAAGTACACAAAAGTCACACTACATGGTGCAAACTGGCATAGGAAAGAAGCACTTAAGAAGGAATGTATTTGAATGATTACTGCTAATTTTAAGCACTGTCTTTCTCATATCTAGGCTAATAACAGGACTCTACAGGAGAAAATCCTCCAGGTGAATAACCTTGTAGAAGCATTTGGAAATGCAGGCACTATCATCAATGATAACTCCAGCAGATTTGGAAAATATTTGGAAATGAAATTTACTTGTGGTGGCACTGTAGTAGGAGCTCAGATTTCAGAGTACCTCCTTGAAAAATCCAGAGTTGTCCACCAGGCAGTGTAAGTATAAAAGTAATTTTTTACCTCGTTTGAGGTTTACAGAGGAGGCTTACAATAATGGAAATTATCTCAGGACAAAACATAAGGAAGAGTAAAGAGTGAGGGCTTTGTGTGGTTGTGTTATGATGTGGGTTTTTACATAAATGATATATGAACAGTTAATAGTTCTGTCAGATAATTGAAAACTACTCCCAATTTTTTTCAATGCCTCCACAGTTGCGTAAACAAATCCCATGGATCTTCATATCCAATATATAAAAAGTATATTGGAATGTCTAAAGAATTAAAAGCTTTCTAATGGTTCTTTGTGGAAATTATGGAGAAATCAAAATCTTACTTTTATGCAAACTTTTAGTATTATATAAATTATGTGGCTTTGGTTTAATTGCTCAGTGTTTCCTCTAGTACTGTAGATCTGTTTGCAAAATGTTCATTTTCTACTGTGGAGAATTTAGTTGGATCTGGTTTATGCAGGATTACAGACCAAGTGCAATACAGAGCCATTTCTGTTGTGTGTATATCTCATAATATAAGAGAAAAATTAAACGGCATTTCTAATGTATTAAAATTATTGAAATGTATTTTCTATCATGATATATAGTAAAACTATTATACCTACTCTGTTTCTATCTTAGTAATGATAGAAAAGATAGAGCTTGAGACAAGGAATCTTATCGTCGTTTTAAATTTTTCTGCTTACTGGTCTTTTCTCATTTTTATTTGTTCTGTAGTTCTGTACAACCCTGTTGCCTGTTGTATATATATCTATATATCTATTTCTGGTATGAATTATTTCTGAATCTCACTGGCAATTTTTTTATTAATAATTTAAAGTTAGACGCAGGTTTATAAAAAGCTTTTTTCATTCCCAAGTTGAACATAAGCACAGAAAGTGCTTTTTCAGAATAAAATTAACTTTTTCCGTAAAATATCACTTCTTTCTTAACTTACTGTGTTTTTTTTTCCTGTCACCATTAGTTGGTATTTGCATTTTGCCACATGCTGAGACAGGAAGTCAGCAAACCATTTAGGTGCCTCAAATGTTCTTTGGGTAGGTGTTTAGAGATCTGAATTCACAAGAAAATGCTGCTGAACTGGTTAGCCCGAGAGACACTGTAGGAGGTTAGTGCTTGAAGCATGAATTTCCAAGGGCTCCTGACGCTGTTGGTGTAGAGCAGCGTTCTCTTTGCTGTCAATTCGAGTGAGCCTTGTCTGTTACCTTAATAGCATTTAATTATTGTGTGTATGTCATCAGTAAATGTAACACAGATATACTTCTAAACGAGTTTCTTTCTTGTTGCAGAGGAGAGAAAAATTTCCATATTTTTTATTATATTTATGCTGGTCTTGCAGAAAAGAAAAAACTGGCACATTACAAATTGCCAGAATATAGACCTCCCAGGTAATACTGTTTATTTTTACAAAAATTGATTCCTTAGAAATGTGATGGTGTTGAATTCCTAACCTCATTTAAATTCTAACTCTGTCAACTCTTCCAGATATCTGCAAAACGATCATTTCAGAATAGTGCAAGACTTTATGAACAATAGCTTTTATAAGTCGCAGTTTGAATTAATTGAACAGTGCTTCAAAGTCATAGGTTTTACACTGGAGGTGAGTGCTGATAACCCTTTTTAATGAATTTTAATGGCTACCTTGATAAGGAAAACATGAATAAAGAATTGAAATAATCACCCTTGTTATTTTCCTCCTTTAGCAGTAGTGTTTTTATGATATTATGTGGTCAACCTGTTGTTATATGCTACATTTAAATTTTTAAGGTTTTAAGGCATAGATAAACTAATAAAATTATGTTAGTCAACAGGGCTTTGATGTTCATGATTGGGGAAAAAAGACTTTTGCAATTTAAATGCATGGAAAATGTTGTAACTGTTTATTAGTCTGTAATCTTGGGGCTGTGAATATGAGCTTCATCTCTGTTTTAAGGTGATGTCCATGGTGAGAGTTCTAAAAATTCATTGAGTTTATCTGGGTTTTGATGAACTCAATAAATTTTCACAACTCCAGGGACAAAGTTGAGTGAAGTTTTTACATTCCTTTAGAGTGGATCTGATCACTGAACATTAACTGAACCCATTCTTCCTTTATCATCTCATACCATTGCTCTACTGGCCATTAAATCCTTCTCACCAGGCTGTTTTTCATGTAATTGCAGTGAAAACACAGGCCTCTGTACTTATAAAATATGATGCAAGGGAAATAAACCCCATCCTGCACCCTTGTTCTCTCATTTGAGAAGCTGTGCATCATGGCTATAGTTTACCACTGACTTTATCAATCACAAATGATAGCAGGAATATGACCCATATGAAATCTGTGAAATATAGTACTATTGCTGCAGAATGGATGCATGTTTTAGTCTGTCTATCAAAATCATATTTTGTAAGAAGTTTTTCTCAGAAAACTACTCTGTTAATTTCAGAATGTTTTGTTTCCCTTAATATTTTTGAATCGGTAGCAGAACATCCATTCTGTTCCTCCATACTCCTTTTACATTAAGCTGCAGTAACAGCGGAGTTCACAGTCTCTTTCTCCTCTGTGTGCTTATTCATAACTGCTCATAATAATATCACACATCCTTTCACACCTGTACTTTCAGCACTTTAGAAGCAGCCTGGGAGGATATGCACAGTTCAGCACTGATAGCAGTTCTATCTCAGCAAAAACCTTGATATGCCCTAATTAATACTGTGTAAAGCAAGAAGTCTGTTCTTGTTCCACACTCCTTTGTTTGCTTTGATAGATGGAAAGAATAGTCCTGATCATCCAGAAGAGGAGACCGTTCTTACAAATTAAAGATTCATTTACAATACCATCACTGGCTGCATTAAGCAGATCTAGCATGCATCTTCATTCAGTTTCCTCAGTAAGCCACAATGAGTTTAATCTGTGAATGATTATCTTTGTGTAGACTTGCCACAATGTCAGAAGTAGGTGAAACAACATAATTAATCTGTGGCTACATGTGAGCCCCATCCATGATAACCTGTCTTACATTCTCCATTGGTTGAATTAGCCTGTCTGATATCGTGTTTGGAAGGAACAGAGGAATCTTTCTCAGTTGAGGCTCTGATACAGGATACAAGGAAACTGCAAGGAACTAGCCCTTGTATGTCTCTCCAGAACTGCCAAGAGGACATTGCTTTCTCTATTTCTGCATCAGGTGGCAGAGCAGGATGCCAGCAGGGGAGGGAAGTTTGACTTGTTTCCAAATGGTGGCAGAGGTGTGAATAAGTGCTTGTTTTGGGTTTACATACTGCTTCCCAACCCTTCTGAGTGAACTCAGGGTGTCTGTACCACTCTCTTTGAGGAGTGATGGCTATTGCCAGAAATCAGAGTGTGTATGTACAGAGATGATTTCTTTTCTATTAGGAAAAAAATGCTGTAAGACAGAGTTCCTTTTCTAATCTGATTTATTTCTAACTAGCCTTGAGCTTTGATATTCATCCTGCAATGACAAGGAAGATCTATATATACATATTCTGTATTTTATTATCAGAAAGCCTTGGATAAAATATCTTCTTCAGTTAAAACTGAGACCTAAAAATAAAGCTTTCATTCTTTAAAATTTGTTTTTAACTGCCTCACAGCTGTTAACCGTAACTGTCAGTATCCCAGCCTTAAAATCACACTGTTTCATCTCAAGTTGCAAAGCAAAGTTAATAGAAAGAACTGGCTGAGGTGAGCAGTAATCATGCTGTATAAAAGAGATCAAGCCAGATTTAGAACACGCTGGGAAAGGGAATAGAACTGTCAGCAGCAATACATACTGAACAGTGTAATGGCAGAAGTTAAGCTCTTCATTTTCTGTGTTTTATGTGTCCCTAAGCTTAAAATGTAAATGATTGCTTAAAGCCTACATCAACTGTGAGTCAATTATCCTGAGCATAATTTTATGAGTGTGCTCATACAGTTTGTCTTACTGTCACTGGAATAATTAATTTATTAACTGCTAGATTAACTTCTCTGAAAGTGCTGAAAACAAGACCAAGTTCTCTAGAGCAATTAAGTAAGGATTGTATCGAAGTAAATGATGCCTGACATGGAACCAGCAAACTACTGAATATCAGGAATAAAATGCTGTGGAATTATGAAAATCGTCATTATAAAATACTAATCAAAGTTATAGAACTGCTTATTGTAAAACAACCACGAAACTTACAAAACTGGTCCTCATAAAATACACTATTACTCTGTGCATCAGAGTGTGTAGTATTGGAGATTGCTAGCTTAAAACTGAGTCTGTTTTACAGGAACACTTCAGCATTTCTGAGTAGAAAATACAGATCATTGAGTGTACTGAAAAATGTTCACAGTTCAGGTGAAAATTCACAGCTGAAAATTGGCAGTTCAAAATCTATGTGCAAAGAATACCTTTTTTCATTAATTACAAATTTGATTTTGTCCTATGTAATTATTTAAAATCATTTACTGTAGGTATCACTTTGCTGTCCAGACTAATATTAGCCCTTTTTCAAGGCAGAACCTCTATTCGGACCCTACTAAAACATTTGAAAGCTATACATGCTTAAATTTATTTAAATACAGTCCACACCAAAGTACTGTGGTGAGTATTCAGTTCCTTAGTGACTTTTTGAAAAGTTCTGTGCTAAATTAGAGATGTGAGTTCTCACTCTTCTCTCAGTGAAGCTCTTTTTCTGATGACATTGATGGAGTGGTTGCAGACCTATTATTATTTGGAGTACTTTGTTTCCGTGATCCAAGAAACTTAAATGCAGATTTTTAAAATATGTTTGCTGATGTAGGTATTACATTTTTAGACAAGGTTGAGTCTGCAGACATGGTGAAGGGTGGAAATAATAATCCTCTGTGTTCCCTCTTTGTACAGAACAGGAAATAATTGCTTGGGAAAGTATTCCCAAAAGAAGTAGTCCTGTGGCAGACAATGGGAGAAAGTGTTCCAAGCTTAGGAAAAAACACGAGGATGCCCATCATCTGCACCAAAGTGACAAGCCTCTCAGGCTACTAAGTGTTACATCTTTTTTATTTATTTATTTATTTATTTTTATATATATACTTTCCAGGAACTTGGAAGCGTATACAGTGTTCTGGCTGCCATTCTAAATGTGGGTAACATTGAATTTTCTGCAGTGGTATCTGAACACATGATTGACAAGAGCAACATTTCCAATCCTGTAGCCCTTGAAAATTGTGAGTTCTTTCTTTGAATTTGTTTTCCTTTTAGCATTTTAGTAGCAAATGTCTTTCATTGCGAAAAGTTATCAATGAGGGCTGTATTCACATGGAAATTTTGCAAGTAGAATTAAATGTTGGAATTAGATTAATTCCAGGTTCACCTGAATTCAAATGTAAAAAGAAAAAAAAACATTTTATGTGACTAACTAGTTTGCTGGCATTCAGGAAACATGACTACCATTGCAGGTGCTTGAAAAGAAAATCACTGGAATTTTTCCAAGGTTATTTGAGCATTTGATGGAGAACCTCATTAACATTTTGAACATTTTTTTCAGTTTATTTCATAGATCCTCATTATTTGTTCTGTGCATGTATATATTGAACTGCATCTAACTCATCATTTGGAAGGGTTACCTTACACTTCTGGTTGTAAGTAGCTGGAGGAGGGGAGGAGCAATGATTCTCAAGGAAGTTGCTACTCTTTCTCAGTAATTACAGCTGAGGAGTCTATGAACTCTTCATGCTATCTTACACATTTTCCTGTCATAGAAAAATGTCGTGCAACTGGGAAAGAAGCAAAAGGGGACAGCTGCAGGTAGCTGGGATGGAATATAACAGGGGGATATTCACGCCTCACAACTTTCATGCTCCCAACAGTCACCTAGATACCCTAGCATTTCTCCATAGACAGTTTGGAGAAGCCGCCTCCTTGATGGAACAGTTTAGAGCATCTAAATGCCCGTGCTTTGAATTGCTGATTGCTGTTAAAGTGGAGAGGTTTAGATTTTATGTTGAGGGACATTTTTTCACTGACAGGGTGGTAAAGTGCTGAAACAGGCAGCCCAGAGAAGTTGTAGATGCCCTAATCCTGGAGGTATTCAAGGCCAGGCTGGATGGGATCCTGGGCAGCCTGATTCAGTGGCTGAAAACCCTACTCAGGGCAGGGGGGTTTGAACTAGATGGTCTTGGAGGTCCCTTCCGACCCAAGCTATTCTATGATTCTGTAATACAGTGAAAGGCAGAAAGGCTTATGACTGAAATAGGTACCGACCATCAGTTTGTATGAACGCCCCTACTTGCAGGTTTAACTTAAGACTTTGATTGGGCCACTGTTTGATAGTATGTTATACTTGCAGCCTTGATGACAAAAGTGTGTGTTTTTTTCTTCAGAAGTCTGCCTCTGAGCTGTGACCTTACCTTCCAGGTGCATCCTTGCTGTGTATTCAGGCAGATGAGCTGCAAGAGGCCCTCACCTCTCACTGTGTAGTGACTCGAGGAGAAACAATTATTCGTCCCAATACTGTGGAAAAAGCCACTGATGTCAGAGATGCGATGGCCAAAGCTCTCTATGGGCGCCTGTTCAGCTGGATAGTCAATCGCATCAACACTCTTCTCAAACCTGACAAACATTTAAGGTAAAATGTACTTTTCCTGAATAAAGAAAGATCTTCTATGGAAGGAGTGTGGTCTACGTTGAAGTATTTAGTGTTCTCATGTTAAATGATGTTTTTTATACTATTTATGTTATGCATTGGCAATACAGAAGATACAGATAGCACAGCATCTGATGTTTTTCTGTTTAACCTTTACTCATTTGTAGATTATGTGTAATTATTGAAATTATTATTTTTTCCTTTATACTGTTGACTACATGGGTCAAATTCTGCTCTTATGTGCACCCTTATATTGCAGTTCCTTATTTGCGGTTATTGCTTTTATATGCACACAAATATCTATACATCAAGGTAGTTTCCAAAGCCAATTACTGAGGTTAATGCCCGCCTTATCCTTAAAGGGTGACGTTTTAAACACACAGATGAGAAAGATCCTGGGAATGAGGTTTTAATGCATTTTGCTAATTAATTAAAGAAGAAATAACGCAGCCTGCATTGTAGATCCTGTAGATCAGGGCTCTCTCTGGCTGGGAATATCATGACGAAGCATGAACTTGAAACAGAATGTCAATAACAAATAGCTTTGCAAATCTAAATTTTTCTGGATTGTATATTTTTGAAGCATCAAATGAAAGTCAAGGCTGCAATCCTAAAATCTGTCTAAACTTTCAAAAATTTGGTTACCAGAGGGCAGCAATAAGCAGAACTTTAACCAGTAGATGGTTGAATAAAATGCATGACAGATGAGGCAGCAGTGCTAATGCGTGCCTCTCTTTGAAAATAATCTTTTTCAGATTGAATACTTATCATGCTGATGAGCATGGAGAATGTTTGACCTGAAATTCTTGTTATAAACAAACAAATAACAACAACAAGCTAATAAACTAAAACAAAAGTCTACACTGTTTTTTGTGGTAGTATAATAATAATTTGTATTTATTTCCTCTTTTTTTTTTTTTTTTTCCAATTAGCTCTGAAGAGAAAAGATAATTTCCAGACAAAGTAGTCACCAATATAGGTCAAAATCAGCAAATGTCTTTAGTCACAGTCTCATAGAATCACAGTAAATCCCATTTTGAAAGGGAACCACAAGGATCATTGAGTCCAGCTGCTGGCTCCACTCAGAATCACCCAGTAAAATAGTATTTGTAAATTTGTATTATTTGTCAGAACAGGATATGTGCCTTTAAATTTTTCTTATTGTTTTCTCTTTTAAGTCTTCTCAATGCACTTGTAGGGGCAGGAAACAATAAGAAAGATGCCAGCCTGTAGAAATTGTGTGATTCTCTTTGCAGTGGTACTCAGGGCCAGGCTCAGAGACATTGTGCACAACCTAGAGCCCAGGAGCTGCCTCTGCCCATCAGTTGTGCTGTGCAGTGATGGAGTGCTGGCACAGGGACCGGAGAGGCCATGAGGTTTCCTCCTTGGTGATCTCCAGAGGCTGCATGGACGTGGGCCTGGACACCCTGCTTGGATTGACCTTGCTGGGGCGGGGCTATTACTGAAAACAGAAACTGAATCTGTTTCATTTTACCCAAACTTGGCCTTGCAGATCATACCACAGAGGCTTGGCATGTGGTGCTGCAGAGCTAGCAAGAATGAGAGCCAGAGCCAGCACAGCCCAACTGCCCCAGTGCCAGCTGCACACACAGGCACCACACATGCGTTCACTACAGACACAGCTACCAAAACACTGAGAACAATACACAGCAAGAGCTTTCATTTGGCACTTCTGACTTATTTTGGAAATAGCCACAAAAAGAGATAAGGAATAGCCAGAAGAAAAGTTCCGCGTGTGGTTCTTCCATGAAGAAATACTTCAGATTCTGAGATGGACTTCACAAAGATGTTCAAGTGCTCAATACTATAAGTAGTTATTTAGATGCATAGAAGGTCTAGCAATTCTTTCTTCAGACTTTCCTGTTAAAATAAGCAGTTTTAAGTGTTGTGAATATGTAATAAGAAGAAATAATATCTAGTGTCTTTAATTCCAAAGAACAGTTGAATAAGGCCTGTTTGCTTAAAAAAGGAACAAAAAGAACCTCATGTTTTTTCTGTACCATCAGCTTTTTGCAGTAGATTATTAACTAGCACATATTAATCAAATTTGAAGTCTTCTCTACACTTATAAATTGAATTGGACATTATGTGATTCAGAGTATCTGCTTTGCAGATAGAGATGTCTTTGGATTTATATACATTTATTGTATTTCAAATAAAAATTGATTTTTTTAAAAAGAAAAATCTGATTTAGTAATGGCTATTCTGTTCATTTGCTGTACAGATATGGCTCATGATTTGCTTTCACAAAACAATTATGAAGATAGTCACTGTCAAATAATTAATCTTTGCAGTGGAAGTGATGATGGTTTGAACATTGGAATTCTTGATATCTTTGGCTTTGAGAATTTCAAGAAGAATTCTTTTGAACAACTCTGTATCAACATTGCCAATGAACAGATTCAGTTCTACTTCAATCAACATGTCTTTGCCTGGGAACAGGTATGTGTTGAATTTTGTGATTAAGCTTTAATATTGCTGAACATATAAAAGCTTGTTTCAAGGAATGACATTGTTTCTTCTCCATAGGAAATTGTAAATTGCAGATCCTAACGAATGTTTTCTGAATATGTATTATATGAAGCACTGTTGGATTGCTATTTGCAAGTAGAATGCCTACATAAAATACATTAAACTTGAAATGTATAGTATCTAAGCAACATAACACAGTGATGATCATTCTGGTGTAAATGCAGTGTTGTTTTCCTGAGGAATAATGTGACATATGGTTCTACAGTAAAAAAAAATAAATGAGTAGTGAAATAATTATTGAAGTGCAGTGTTCATAATAACTTGCTAATAAGCTTAATGAACACTGAAATTCCATAAACAAAAAAAAATGGAAATCTTGATCTTAATTTGTTCTTGTTCAGGAACTAGCTCATCTAAGCTAAATAATGATGGATTTAATCAAAATAATTTTGTGTGAAACAGAGAACAGAAATGGAATTATAAATGTTTATTAAATTGAAGAGAACTAAAAAAACTCAGAAAAAGAGCACCTCAACTTTATAAACCATTTCATGTGACTCATCTTTAAATCATTATTCAGTATTGTTATTTGAAGAAATTACATGGCTGGGGAAAAAATAATGATTTCACTGGAAGTAGATATATTCAGTATGGTCACTGGTTTCTTTTCTGTACCTGAGTCTGAAAACTGATAACAGCTTTGCTTTCCTTGGAAGTGCAACCTGCTAAAAATAGAGCTTCAGAAGTGATGGAAAAGGTATGTTAGGATGTGGTCAAAGATCATAAGCTTTGTTATTCAGGAAGTTCCCCAGTCAGCCTCTCTGAAGATCTTCATTGCCATACAAAGATGCCCTTGTATAAATTACAAAAAGCAATCACCCCCAGCCTTTTAGGAACTAGCACCCTCATTGCCTGAAAAGAACGAATGAATGATGTCATAATGTCTTATATAACATTTACTGGAGTGACATAAGTAGCCCAAAAACCAGTGTGGACACAAAACAGTAGACCAGAATACAATGGATTGTACCACTCCTGTCAAATGATCTAAGAAAAATTGGCCTTACTGCTCCTGTATCGTTTTTTGTTAGTCTTGTTGCACTGATACAGTAAATAAGAGAAGCCTGGGTAGGGTGTAAGGAAGAATTGCCTCTAGTTTTCCTAAGGAAGATTTTTTTTCCCCGTGGGTGACCATAGACTTATAATAACTCCTGACTGTTTCTCCTTTAGTTTTTTGCACCAGCTGATGCTGAAAATTTTCTACAGGAATGACATTGATGGAGACAATTGCACAGTATTGAGAAATCCTTTTTATTGAATGTTTTCTGTAGCATTTAGTGTCACTGTAGTATCCCTAATGTGATTTTATTAGTTTTTAATATTCTTTTCCATTATATCATTATATATGAGAGCTGCTCCAAAAGTAATGCCTCCTTTTTCATTATGTTACCTGTCCTGTCCTTCAAGGTGTTTCTCTCACATATAAGACTCTGCACTGATGTGAGATAATTCTTTGCTAGCTCCATGTTCTGCACATAACTTTGTCCAGGAAGACAGCTTTCCCATTTCTTTCTCACTTGTTATGCTTCCATAAAAAGTAAACAGTGTAATGTGAAATACCTTCAATATTTTGGGAAGTGGTAAATTTATTGCCACTTAGAAGGATACTACCTTTTGCATTTTATAAGTATGCAATGTTTATTTTACATTCGTGTAACAAATTGATCTTCTGCTCTAAGCTGGAAATGTTCATCTTGAATAACTCCCTGGTGTTGCTGTTTAAACCAAAGCATCATCATGCCACATTCTTAGAAAAAAATGACGTTACATTTTTAGTAAGCATGAAAATAATTTCCTAATGCATTTAATAATTCTTTTGTTGGTAAATGAAACCAGACTACACAAGGCAGTAATACTTAGTTTTGATCACAGAAGAGACGCCATAAAATACTGAGATGAGATTGGAGCCCAGGTATAAGTGCAACTCAGTCATTCCTTTTGACATCCCATCTATAGGAGTACTGTCTAGTGGATTATGCTTTAGAATTTCAATGAGCAGCTGATATTTTAAGGAGCCTTCTAGTTTTAAAATACCGTGGGAGATTACAACATCCTGTAGCTGATTCAGCTTATTAATTCAAAGAAGATATATTTAATTACAATTTCATGATGTACATCATGAAAGCTTTTCTCCTTGCTGTTTGTATTGTAATAATATGGTTGAGGACCAGCAATTGCATAAGAAAATGTAATATGGTATCTCTTAATTCCAAGCCATCTGTCATATCGGTGCCTTGAAGGCTTGGTTATCAGCCATCCTCCAGGAGCTCATGGGAAGTGATGAAGTGAACTTGCTCCATATCCTACTGGGCAGACAGCAGCATTACAGAAGCTGTCAGCACTAACATCCCATTCAGTTTTTAGGATAAAAGTGCTAAACACTGAGGGATCATATACACCAAGTGAATGCTTTGAAGGTCAGGCACTTTGTGTTGGCAGTACAGGGAGGGGGAGAAGATGTTTGCAGAATGCAGGTGGAGCAGAATGGCTATTACAGAGTTCCTTTTCTATCAGCTCTCCTAACCAGCCTCTCTCACAAACATTTTAAGTAGGGAAAAGTTAATCATTAGATGTGTTGTCTCTGAGATCTTCTTTGAGGATGTCTGAGCATCACCAAAACACTTTTCTGATAGAAAAGTATCCAAAGTAATATCTTCCACAGTATCTTCCCTTTTCCCTCTTGGTGAAAGCAGTCTTGGTAACCCTGAGCAGTAACAGCTGGTTTCATGGGCGTAACAGCTGTGTGTCAGTAAAGCTATAGCCCTTGGTTAAGCTGCCCCTACCCTGGTGTAATCTTTGGGAGATAACACAGAGTCATTCCCTTCCTGCCACTAGCAACTACATGTATATGATTAACTTCATGCCTATATCAGTGATACTCCTTACACCTTCACATGGGTGAATAGACCCTGCCATAACCTATCCATGGAGTCAAGAGTGTCCTGAGAAATTAAATCAAACTGGATAGTAGAAAAGTTTAGTTGTATATTGTCTTCTCTTTCAAATGGATCAGCAGATATATTTATTTTGGTCAGTATTGGTCATGTCAGCCTTTCAGTACCTAAAGGGAGCCTACAAACAGCAGGGGAATCAACTCTTTGAAAGGGTAGATAACAGCAGGACGAGGGGAAATGGTTTTAAGTTGAGGGAGGGGAGATGTAGGTTGAATGTCAGGGGAAGTTCTTTACAGAGAGAGTGGTGAGGTGCTGGAACAGGCTGCCCAGAGAGGTTGTGGATGCCCCATCCCTGGAAGTGTTCAAGGCCGGGTTGGATGGGGCCCTGGGCAGCCTGGTCTAGCATTAAATGTGGAGGTTGGTGGCCCTGCATGTGGCAGGGGGGTTGGAGATTCTTGAGGTCCCTTCCAACCCTAACCATTCTGTGATTTCCAAGACAGTGTTTATGATATTATTTTTTTTTTGTCACTTTGCAGTTTCTCTCTTGCTTAGAGGTATGAATTCTAATAATGTGTGCTTTTCTGTTGTATATGGCAGTTAATTGTTATTTGAAATCCTTGCTGTGTTGCTTTCTTCACTCACTGCTGACTGTCATTCAGACTCAAGTGAATGACACATAAGGAAAGGTTTTGGGGCTAGAGGTCTTTGAACTCATTAATATTAGCCATCATTCATGTTTATGACACTCAATTTACAGTGAATTCAGGGTAGCCCAACTGTGACATTACATCATAAATTAATGCAACACTTCTATAAAGTTCTATTATTTTGAAGGGAAATTATTTTTAGAGTAGCTCAAAAGGCTTAATTATGTGTTTCATACTGTATGGAGCAGTCTGCATGGGTCTGAAGGCAGCCATGGTATATATGGGAGCACTGTGCTCCCTTATATACTGCATTATGTAATGCAGACAAAAATAATGGAAGGGTGGCAGTCCCTATAGCTTCTTTCTGTTGGTAAATCGGTGCCTGTCCTCTGCTATGCTGAAGGATTAAAGAAGGTCATTCTTGTATTGGCCAGCTATAATTTAAATAATTTTTGAGAAAAAGTCATTGCAGCGCTCTGTGGATACAGCTTTTGTTACCAGGTCATTCTCAGGCTTGTGGAAAGTTAAGGATATCCGTATTCTTCAGCAAAGAAGTAAGAATTGGCTCCTTTATTATTTTTTAATAATTCTTAAAATTTTCTGTCATTTCTTAAAAGGAACCAAAAAAAAAGTAGAGGCCAACCTGACACAATTTATTTATGTAATTTTTAGAAAGTGTGTGCAATATGCTTCCCATTGTGAGAGCTTTTCCAGATGTTTGAAGATGGGAAACAAACACTTGAGGCATCTCTTATCTCCAGTCACCTCTGCAAAAATGCCATAGGAATCACTTAAATATCCAAAGGCAAATTAAGATCTGTAGCTCGCAGTGTGACATGTCCCTTCATGTCTTTAGCATCTTAGCATACTCCTCCCATGTAGTTTTAGTTTCCTACAATTGACAGTTCATGAATTATTTTCTGAACTGGTGCCATATAGATAGATATAATGTGCCTTCTGTTCTTTGTTACAGAATGAGTACCTGTATGAAGGTGTCGATGCAAGAGTTATAGAATATGAGGACAACAGGCCACTCTTAGATATGTTCTTACAGAAACCAATGGGCTTATTATCCCTGCTTGATGAAGAAAGTCGATTCCCACAAGCAACAGATCAGACACTTGTAGGTAGGTGTATGGTTTGTTTTGTAATTTTGCAGGATATCTCCCTGTTATGTTTTTGTTTGCTTTGTCTAGTTCAGGGTATATGTGCCAGCAGTTGTTTCCAATGAGTCCATATTCCAGTGTCAAAGTATATTTCAGTGAGGCATGCATACAAGGCTGGATACATCTTTGAAGTTAGATATAGATATAGATAGAAAAAATGTTAGGAGTACAAATTAACCTAAGTTAAGCCAGGTTTTGAATTCTTCCACCTTCAGGATTTTTTTAGTTACGCTGCTTAAAAGATAAAGGTCAAGCTGATTTAAACCTCTAGGTTCATATGCCAAGAACGTTTTATTCAAAGCTGAGTTACATTCAGGATTCCAAAATGTTCTGGAATTTAACATGAACCATATCTGAACAAGAATTTTGGTATTCCTTAAGGGTAAAGGCTGCAAACCTTGCTTTGGTGCCTTTCTGCAAATTATGTTTCCAATTCTGTTTATTCTGGAAATTCAAATTAAAACATCTGAATTTGTTGTGATTCAGATCCTGAATATTTCAGTGCTACTGAGTGCTCACAGTTAATTTCAGTATTTTGGTGAGGTTTCTGAGCAGATTAATGTTTTAATGATTTTTGAATGTGCAGAGTGTCAGATGAAGGTTTTAACCAACACCTGAACACAGAACCTAGTAACAATATCCATAATAAGCATTTATATAAGCTCATTGTTTTTCTAATCTTATATTATATGGTTTCCAATACAGAGCTCCCCAACTTCACCACTCTGTTCATATACTGTTCTGTATATGAAGGTCAAACGCTTTGAAATACAAATGACTTTTTGAGGTAACACGTTTTAAAAAAATGTTACGAAGAAAATAACTGATTCAAGAGTTCCCATATTCTCTATAGAGTGTCTTTTATTACAAGACCATTATACTTCCTTTCTCCTTAAAACATCAGTACATTTTGTGCCACTGTATTGTCTGAGAAGTCAAGAAATATCTTTAGATGGATGCAGATTCAGAAGACAATTAAGTAACTCCAATTATGTGTTTGTTTCCTTCTAGAAAAATTTGAGGATAATTTGAAGTCAAAGTATTTTTGGAGACCCAAAAGAGTAGATTTAACATTTGGGATTTATCATTATGCAGGAAAGGTAAGAGACCTATTGATATTTGTTGGGGATTGTGGAATAGTAGGTCTGGAAGGAAATGACAGAGGTCAGCTGGGTTGGTTCTTAATCTTTTTTTATTCAGGTCTGACATGGAAATATTATACCTCAAAAGTAAAAAATGTATTTTTCTTCACAAAAAAAAAAAAGTAAAACAAAAACAATAATGAAAGTGTGTTTTTCAATGTCACCCAGTAAATGAAGTGACTGTATTACAGCAGAACCAAAAAGTCACCATTCTGTAATGCAACTTGGTGTTCCTCTAAATCTTCTGCTATACTTGCTCCCGCTGCTTCAAAATGGGCTTCAGCTCCATTCCTTCTCCCTTTTGGCATCTCCTTCACCCCATCAGCCTTACTACTTAGTTCTGTACTTTCATTAGACAGGTAGCAAAGGCCATGCTTTCTGCTTTATTTGATGAGCATCATCTTGCTCTGCTCTACAAGGTGGCTTGTTGAACATGTCTTTGCAAACTCAGGAGGAGTCACTGATGGGCTAAGGCAAGATGCAGCTGCTCAGCTGAGCCTTGTGGAAGCAGAAGCTCACACTTCCTTTTGAGCTCTTTTCAAGGGTATGGAGTCAGCATTGCTGTCTCACATGGGAAACTTCATTGTGCCTGTGCAGTACAGGAGCAGCTGGTCTGGAAGGAGCACCACACTTCCCATCAGCTGATGGAAGATAGCTTGCCCCTTTTATAACACAGGCAGCTACAAAAGGCCTGTGGTGACACTTCTGAAATTAATCTGCTAAATTATGTGTGCTTACTGAGCATTGCTTATCTCACTGCTGAGGAGTGGGGAGTCAGCTCTGCCTGTGCCATTCCTGATTCCTCCACTGCAGCTGAGGATTCCACCAGCCCTTTCCAGCACTGAAGAACATTTTTTATTAGGAGATTTCTCCTACTATTCTTAAATTTCAATTGCTGTGATTTTATTTCATTTTTTTTAGTCCTGTTCACTGTAAACCTGGAATACAATTTATTTCCTTTTTCTTTCAAAGACCTTTTTGTAATTTAGGATTGCTAATGGGTTGTTCTGCTGTATTTTGTTTTGAAATTAAACATGCCAGCTTTTGCCACCCTTTGGCCTGGTTTTCTTGTGGGTCATTTACAGATAGAATTCTGGAGGTACATATTGAGGTAGATATCCCATGCCTGGATTTGTTTATAGAGATCTCATGTGCAGGTTGTTACTTTGAAATCTTCCTTTGTAGTTAATGCAGGGTTCTCCAGGAAGAGGGTAAGTCCTGGGGCCAGTGCAGCACAGTATGAATGGGACAGAAAGGCTGCACAATATGGGTAATCCTGTGCAATAGGGCTGAAAGCAAGTTCACTGCTTGTTGTGTATTTAGACCTGTACTAGTATAAAGGATGGCTACGATACAGTTGTCCTACTGCTAAATCCACACTGACTAAAACTAGTATTCCCTGCATGAGGGCATAAGAGTGTCTCCAGTTACTTTGGAGTAATAGATTTGCTTTTAGTAAGCTGCATCATAATGGCTCTCAATATTGAAAAGTTAAAACTGTCTGTCCTCAAAAGAAAGACTGTGAGCAAGAGCAAACCTCATGGCTGAAAAGCTATTAATGTCTCTTGAAATATTACAAGCCACATGCCAGAGTGGTTGAATTTACAATTACTTTTCAAAAGCCCAGAAGATGCATACATGCACTTTTTAAACAGGTTCTGTATAATGCAAGTGGATTCCTGGCCAAAAATAGAGATACTCTGCCAGCTGATATTGTGCTGCTTCTGCGATCGTCTGAAAACAATCTGATACGACAGTTGGTAACGCATCCTCTTACAAAAACAGGTATTGCTATTGTGGTAGTCTTCCTACTGTCCTTCTCTAGCCTTCATGCTGACCACAGCTGGATTTCATATGACCATTTATTGGTGACATTATACACTTTGTGGCTTAACTTTCCAACCCTAGAATCTATACAGAATGGAGCCCCTGCCATCTCAAGCTGCAGGGGAGGGACTGGTCTGGTCAAGTGCGAAGGAAGTGGTAGAGGCTTCTTTCAGGGTCCCCTCTTCAGGTTAGGGGCTCGGGACAGGGAGTGGAGTACATCTCTTGAGTTGAGGACTGAACAAAAAGGATCAGGTAAGTCACTGGCCTTTTTTGGACAGGGCATATGTAAGTTGTCTGTTTTGTCTCAGTGCAATTTTTTTTTGAAAGTAAAACCCAGCTGGGTTCCTAGCCTCTGCTGCAAAGAAAGAAGAGACACTCTGCTTCCCCAGTCTTAGTCTATTATAGTAGTTAACTGTTGAGGTCCTAATAGTGAACTTTTCCTTGGAGAGTTTACAAGGGGTTGTAGGAATATAACTGGCTCTACAGAAATTACTTCTAAATAAAATTGCACCTTAGTTGAACTGTGTTTTCTGTACAATGTCTTACTTGTCTTTTTTGATCATAGGTAAGTCTTCCTATCCTTACAACCAGAAAATCTAGGTGGCAAGCATCATTTGTGTCTTTTTAGGTTTTACCATGAATTACTAGGTAACTGCTGTTATGTGTTTTATAGGCAGGCAAGGGTTACTTATTATTGTGTTATATTTCTCCCTGTGTGAGGGCACTGATGCTGTATAATAAGTATTTTACAACAGTACTTTCTTGTACCATTGCATAGAAAGCTAAATTGAAAGAGCCTAATGGAAATTTCTCCAAAATGTTATCATAACTTACAGAAGCTAGGGCTTTGGCAAAGCTCCTGTTACTCATGAAGGAAGCTTTGCTGGTGGAATGCAAAATTGAGTCTTGAAAGTCTATTTTAGGTCAGTACTGTTGGGAAAGCACAGAGCACAGTGTCCTTCTCTGAACATTTTAACTTATTTACATCTGCTAAGATGTTAAACTATAATTTCTGTAGAGCCAAGGTCAGGGCCCAAATGGTACCAAGAACTTTTGTAATGTTTTGCAATAATGACTCCGAAGATTATTTTAGTTTTTTTTAAATAGACATCAAATGTTGTACCTTTTGAAACTGACCTAAACAATCCAGCTCTAACCAACTGAAAGTTAGTTTTCCAGTCTAAGTCATTCATATAGAGTCAGTGGAAACACTGAGATATAACCAGAGTCCAACCGATCCTATCCATCTTGAGTGTTTCTCTTAGGATGAGACAAATCTCTTCTGAAGGTCCCTGTCTTCACTGAATGCAGTGGAGATCCAGTAGACACTTCGCTTCCAGATAGCTAATGTTAGATGTGAGTAATCTCTCTTTCCTTTCTACCCAGTGATATTTAGCTAAGCACAGGGGATTTTTGCACTTGATACCATCACATAATCCATGATGCATTAACTGGGCATACCATAGAGTTGCAGCTTTTTATCCAACTTTTATGTAACTTTTTTTCTTCTCTACCTATAGTAGCTGAGCACAGAGAGATTGTCAGTTCTCACAGTGCGTAGTAAAATTTCAGAGGTATTATATTAATAGCAGAAGCAATGGCAGCATGCAGCACTGGGTGGGATTTATCAACGTAAAGCAACATGGTGTAAAGTCCAATAGTATCTTACTATTTCTTTAGAAGGTCAGTGTCTATATAAACCGCTCCCATGAACCTTATCCTTCGAGTCATTATAATAAGGGTAGTTTTTGGCTAAGAATTCCAAGGTTGCAGGCTTAAGACTATGTCTGTGATAATAAACAAAAACAAGGCTAGAGGACAGTAGCCAAAATACTGCCACAAGACTGCCCACTATGATAAGCTGCTACCATGTCACCCTGGGACAGTTTTGATCATTCTAGCATTCTCTTGGAAATACTCAGGCACACTTCACAAGAAAGTACAAATTAGCAATGGTTTCCAGCAAGCTCTGTGGGGAGGTGCAGCTGTATTTTTACTAGTGGAGTAGAAGAGTGGAGAAGAATAGAATTTAGCTGTATAGACTTGAGTCATGCCATGTCATCTGACCTCAGAGCTAGAGAAAGGTGCTAGCATATAATTTTATCTTACATATGTAACCTTAGAACTAGGATAGCAAAATAACCTCCTTAAGGTTAAAGCTCATGGATAATATAAGATATATCTTTTTCACCTTCTGCAGCATTCTCTTTATTTTTTTTTTGCTCTAGTAGGCAATATAAATGCTGAAGGCAGAAAATTCAGTCCTGTTCCGTCTTCATGCAATTTCTTCAGAGCTTGTTCCATCTCGAGGGTGCAAAGAGAAATGACAGCATACACAGAAAAAGTCAACATCTTTTATAATCATATGGTTATACTGAATAAGGTGGTTCAACATATTTTTTAGTTTGGATGAGATCTAAGCATTTTGGTAGGTTGCATTCTTTGATCTTCCCATAGGTAACCTGGCACACAGTAAAAGCAAAACTACAATCAGTTACCAGATGTGGACCCCCCAGAAATCAATCAGTCGTACAAAGGTAAGAAAGCTGATATCATGATTCTTCATTGAATCTGAAGTTAAACTACAAAGGCAATACTGTTATTGGTACTAAAAGTAAGCAAGTAACCCCTTCGATGGTTTTTCTCCCTCTCCTATTTTCTTTTCTGTTTAGCTGGATATCTTTGTGTTGTGCAATTCATATTCCTTCCGTGAGGTAAAAAACTAACATTCCCTTCTGTCTCGCTATAGTTTTAAAAAAGCTTCAGAAAAAAAATAAAAATTAGTAATTTGGTGTGAAGTACGGTCATGTTCCATAGAAAATGACCACAATAGCAGTGGTCCACAATAACAGGTTCTCAGACATTGTGGCAGTTATCTCAGGGTATTTGTGGCAGTTATTTAGATGTTCTGTTCTCAGATTGTGTCCTCTGTGTGTGAATGTTTGTGTATTGTGCAGCAAAGTAATGTATTGTATTGGTGTAACTACTTTGTGCTAGTGATCATACAGTAACTTTTCCAGTTTTTAGTACTTTTTTTTTAAATTGATGTTCTCAAAGAAGTGGTTGGTTGAGGCTTTGGAAAGGGCACTGTAGGCTCAACATAGATAAGAAGTGTTATTTTCTTTCTTCATCTATACAGAATGAATCAGGAGATACTGGACATCATCCAAGAGAGACAACCAGTATGAAAACACAAACAGTCGCTTCTTATTTCAGAGTAAGATATCAGACTTTTTCACCTGTTTTTTTAGAGTAGAATAAGTATTTATTCTTTCATCTTTTGAAATACATCTGTTAACTTAGAGACAACAATGGTCAATTTAGAGTTTGTGACGTGCATATAGGGCACAGCAGTTTGTGCAGTACAAATATCTAAAGGAGACTGTGATGTTACATCTAATATTACTCAAATACACAGCCATATTTCTGTCATGATGCTTCTCTGTATGAATCATCTTTCATTTGCCTGCTTTTTCCTAAGGGACATAAGAGAAGACTGGTTGTATAGCATTTCCTTAAGATCTTAAGAAGTAAAAGGGCAAAGCTAATTTGGAACAAGAGGTACAGAGGAAGATTTTAATGGTTAAGAGGCTGTTTTGGGTCCATCCTTTTGGCTTCTTCAGCAGTGCTTTTTACTTTCTCTAGCAGTGGCTGTGCTGCTGATTCTGTTATAGAAAATATCTGTGAAGGACATTCTTTCCTCCAAAGTCATGCACGGAGTTGGCTGACTGGAGCACAGCTCTGAAGCTCCAACTCCTCATAACTCCTGTCTCCCAGCAAAAATGTAAAGGTGGCTCTGATAATGTTTATGACCTGTGAGAGTTCGTTTACATCTGAGACAGAGAACAGTAAGAAGCAGGATCTCTTTGTTAGTAAGCGCAAATTACACAGCTTTTTGGTCTACCAAGGATTATTCAAGCCAAGGTATCATGGTAGTTCAAAGCTGGATGGTACGTTAATATTCTGGATGGAAAAATGTACTGAATCTGCTTCAAAGCTCATGTCTGTGACTCAGTGCATTACCAACAAATCTAGCAACAGAAGCCACGGATGAGTTGTTATATTTGCACTTTCCTTTTACTGTTTTCTGTAGTGGAAATCCCTGCTCAGATCATGCTAGCTAATGCTCTCAAATGAAAACTCAGCTCATCAATGGTTTGCTCTTAAGCAGAAATCCCTGGATGACTGAGAAAACCATCTGCCTCCTAGGCTGAGTAGAAAAAAGCATATCCATTAGCCTGTCCTATTTGTTTGTGTTCCATTGCCACACTAGTAATAAAGCTAATTAAGCACTTTGCTACATTATACAGCATTTGTCCAGAATGGAGTTGCACATTTTAATAGGAAACATATGGCTCTTGACATCCTACACCAGTTTCATGTGCCTAACCTACTGCTGAACTGCATGACATCCTGTCTGCCTTCTTCTGTGGAGTCAGGTTGAATCTTGAGGAATGAGCCTGTTCATTTGTGTCTTAATAAGATCTTCCTACAAGGCAATGTTACGAAATAAAAACCAAGGTCCTTTTTTACAGCCATATTCACCTCAGTTGGCATGAGAAGCTACAAGTAGCACCCTCTCTGCTAGCCTGGCATCCTGGTGAGGTGGGAAAAATGCAACTTTGGATTGATTTTGTGCGTTTTTAGTTTTACCCTTCGCAAAGTTTTGCTCCTGGCAGGGCAGCTGTAGTGTCACCATCAGCCTATACAACAAAGAGGACATGCTATATCAGAGTAGATTAAGCAACCCCTCTTCTGGGGTGACTTTAGTTTCTTCCAGTTTAATTCAGGGATGGTGATATTTACTGGCTTGTTGCTCTTCCACTTCCCATCCTTAAGACTTTCTCTTTGGATAAATAAAAATCTTCAAATAGTTGGCAATAGGCTAAAAACAAACAAACAAACAAAAAGAAACAAACACATCTTGCAGTTACCTAACAAGATTCCAAGAAAAATAAAGAAGTACAAGGAGAGTTTCTATCATATATTAGACCAGCTGATGTGGCTGGGAAGAGGCTTTCAGGGACACTGCCCTTCCATCAGGTCTAATGGCATTTAACACCTTTAACAGCCACACTGTCACTAACAGCTCAGTCACTGATGCACACAGCAAGCCTGATGCACTTGCCCCAAACACTAATTTGTTCCCTGTCTTCAGCATTAGGCATAAAATGTGCAGTCAAGTACTTGTGCCTTTCAGGAGAAATGAGTGGGATGTCTTTAGAAATATTCCTCGTTTAACTCTTCCCTCTTCTGCAGCTGTACATAGAATTCATTTATGCTCTAGCAAACAGTGCTTTGTTTCTGCTAAATGTACAGCTTGATATGAATGTGGCCAACCCAGCCCACCAGCTGCTGTTACATCAGGGAGCTTGTAGGAAAACAGATCAATTTTTAGAACTGCGATTAAAGATAACGCTGCTTCCCAAAACAAAGCAGGAGTTCAGTTATTGGCAGTACCATAAATTATTGCAGTTCTAGTGAGAATGCTCTGGATGGACTAGGATAGACCCGTTTGAGGTCAGTGTTGCCCTCAATCAGTATATGCTGATCTTTTCGAAGCTGGAATTGTTGGTGGGCCATTTATTTCATCTACTGTTGAAGTTCCCTTTTACTGAAATGTGAATGATGTTTCACATGTTCTTGATCATATGAAATAAAATTTCAGCTACACCTGGAACTACGTGGAAGTTTTATGAGCATCCTGGTGTTAGATATTTTGTTACTTTCTTTCAGTACTCTCTCATGGATTTGTTATCCAAAATGGTGGTTGGCCAGCCTCATTTTGTCCGGTGCATCAAACCGAACAACGACCGGCAGGCAAACAAGTTTGATAAAGAAAAAGTGCTGGTTCAGCTGCGTTACACAGGAATTCTGGAGACAGCAAGAATTCGAAGACAGGGTTATTCGCACCGCATACTCTTTGCTAACTTCATAAAACGGTAATTCTGATGTGAATAAGTGTTTTTGCTCTTGCATCATTGCTGCTCAGAGTTTGATGAGCATGACTTTAGCATGGCGTTTAAAAAAATACAGACAAAGATGATTGCAGACTGGATGACAAAATAGATAAATCACAAGATTGGTGAGCCCTTCTGGATTGGTACGGAAAGATTATGCATCTCAGGGTGATTGTTTCAGATTCCCTGTGCATTTGGATAAAAACTGACTTGCTTATAATATGAAAGTTTTCTTCAGGGATTTGAGGGTTAAGAGTTTAATGCTTCAAATTAGAGTGGAGAATTTGGAGAAGGAGAATCGTCTCCATTTCTCTAGCTTCTGACATACAGCACTGTGCAACATGTGCTTTTGGCAGGGATTGATGGTAATTTGGAACTGTTCATTTAGGGCTGAGAAGTTCATTAAGTGCATAGTTCTGTTTAAAATATAATTTCTAAGTATTGGCCATTTGTTAAGAAGGATAATGAATAATGATAATTTTATATAATTAGATAATTAACTCTCTCTTCTTCCACTGCCTCAAAAAAATGAATTCTGAGTACGTAGCTTGTAGTCCTCATTTGCAAATAAAGACCCTGAATATTTGCGTCAATCAGAACTTAGATTTCTGAAATGGAGAGCAAGACTGGGAAAAAGCAAGCAACAATCACTCAAACAGAAGCACTTAAAAGTAATAGTGCCCTAGAAACAGAGAGCTAGCCATGGAGTGCTGCTGGTGCACAAGGAGAGAGAGGAAGGACAAAGTGATGTTTTAATAGCATAGCTTCTGGAAAAAGCATTGCTGGAACTACTACAGTCTTGGAGGAGTGCAGCGTGGGAAGAAGTAGTCATCACTGCACCAAGATGTGCTGTGGCTTTTAGTTGCTACTTTTTATCAAAAACTTTACTGCCCTGGTAAAGGAAAAAAAATCAGTGACCACAATGAGGAAGCTCACCTAAGAGCGTGACCCTGATGGCAGTGAGGCTGTGCAGGTCTCAAACATAGCTGATACAGCATTATGTAAAAAGAGATTTTTAACAGGCATGTATCTCCCTGATTTTTAATTATTATTATTTGAGACTTATAATAGGCCTGGAATGTTGTCAGATTTATTTTGGTTATTAAACCAGTTCATTGTATAGTACAAAAAGAAAGAAAAAAAATGAGTAGGTGTAGGAATCGGTGGTGATAATGCAGGAAAAAGCATTCTCTCCTTTTTTTATTATGCTCTGTGGGAATTGTTACCTTCCATCTAAAGCTGGTAGAATTCATACTTAGCATATGAAGGCTAAATAACTAGGAAAAAAAAAAAAAGTAGAATGCAGTGTCAGGAAGCACACATAGTATATTAATATAATTTTTCTGAATTAAAAAAAAAAAAACAAGATAAGTACAATTCATTTTGTAATGAGGCATTCTAAAAAGTCCTGGAACATGCAAGAACTCTTCTACCTGCCAGCTGAATTTGTACGGTATGAGTAATTTTCATGCATGAGCATTCCGAGCCATTTTCCCAGTCAGAGTTACTTCCAAGGAAGTAACAAGAGCTGGGATGCACCTCACATAATGTTAGCCTTCTAAAAGGTAGATGGTCTAGATCAAGAATTAAGATATGAAAACTTCGTGACATTTATAGCTATGAAGGAGACTAATTTAGACATGAAATCTTCACAAATATTTTTATTTTATCACTGAAATAACTCACAGAGTGCAGCCAGAGCAACAAAGAACTGGCACACAACCCTGCTTGAGCTGCACACTTTTTAAAGCTTCCCAGTGTTGGTATAGAATTAAACATCCCTCCAGGGTATGCAGTATGTCACTCATCTGCTTTTAATTGAATTTCTCAGTACTATGTATAAATCACAGCAGTTTTCTTGGTGTACTCTTCTTTTTTTCAGTGCTATGTTTTCTTTTATAGAACTGTTTTTATTAATGTAAATGAATGGTTTAGATATATTTGCTGTTAATGGAATAAAGAATCATCTATTTGTCTTTAGGTATTATCTCATCTGTTACAAAACAAATGATGATCCTCCAGTCAGCCCAGAAACTTGTGCTGCCATCTTGGAAAAAGCCCACCTTGACAACTGGGTTCTTGGAAAAACTAAAGTAACCTTTCATATTTGACTGTTGTTTTATATATACAGTACATATACCAAAGCAGCATTATTGCAGTATGTCATTGTTAATTTACTAGGCAGTTTGTTTTCTCAATCTCTTTACTCATTTGATTGGAGTTGCTCTTGGTCTCTTCTGGTACTAAAACAAAACCAAAGCAAACAAAAAACATTTTGCAGAACTGTTTCTTAATATCTGGCTGAAATCCTGACCCAGTAATGCATTAAAATTCTGATCAACTGTAATGATGCCATAGTCTACCTTACCAATGTGACCAATGATGCTGCTTGTATTGTATTTCTAAGACTGTGACAGTAAGGATCCGCTCCTTCTTCTTCCTTGGAGCAACCAGACTCACAGTGAGAGGAGAAAAGGTTTTGGCCAGTAGGAGCTGATATCAGCTTCATGCTTGATAAAATCAATTTAATTAATAAGCTATGCCTTAGATTTAAACTTGGAAAGAAGACATTGAAAGTTCCAGATTTGGATCACCTTTGTTGAAGGGGAGTAAGGTAAAATAATATTACAACAAACAAGATTCTTTAACAAAAATGATCTTTTAGGTAATACAGGTAAAAAGTCTGCTGGCACCAACTTGTAACTTGTAAGCTAAGTGGATTGAGTGAATACCAGGACTGCGAGGGCCAGTTTATGTAAACCATAGTAACTAAAAATACTGCTTGTCTGCTTCCTCTTTTTAAGGTATTTCTCAAATATTATCACGTGGAACAGCTGAATTTAATGCGAAAAGAGACGGTTGATAGGATTATATTGATTCAAGCTTATGTCAGAGGGTGGCTGGGCTCAAGGAGATACAAAAAGATAAAGGAACAAAGGGAACAAAGTGCTATTAAAATACAATCAGGTAATAGCTTTAACACATTTGAAGATTTGCTTAAAGTTAGCACATGTATGCAGTCGATAGATGGCTGTGCTTGCTGGATGTGGATTTTACTGTTTTACTGTTGTTACATTTTACAAAATGTCTGATACTTCATTTCTGCTCTTGTGAAGAAAAATTTCTTTTGAACAGCTTATGGGAGTCTTCTTACTGAAGTTGCATTTATCAATATTACCTTTAAAGACAATTTTTTAAATGGAAGGATGTGATTGCATAAATGATATTGTTATTAATAATATTCTAGCATGCTCTGTCAAGGTTGTGTAATATAATAATAAAAACATAATGGATTAAACATCCCAGATAATAAGACCAATTACACTGTTGATGGAGACATCAGCTGAAATTTTTAATACATTTCATACATCATCTTGCTGTACGTTCTGATTCTCCTGTGTTTTGTATTCATTTCATTCATAGTAACTTAACTCACCAGAAAATGTAATTTTAATGTAGGTTCATAGTGCTTATGCTTGTTTGTTGTTTTTGGAAAGATAAAGCCTGCAAAATTTTTATAAAAATATTTTAATGGAGGTCTGTAATTCCTTCCAGACTTTTTTTATTTTTAAACCCTTTTGTGTACCTAATGGAGTCTTTCTTTTTTCACATCTCTTTCCAGCTTACAGGGGTTTTGTTGCTCGTAAAGAATACCAGAATGCAAAACATAATCAAAGAATTGAAAAATATATCATTAGGCTTCAAGCAAGTAAGAATTGTTTGCTTTCCTGGTTTTTAATGTTTTACCCAAACAAAATACGTTGGTCCAGATTCTTTGCTCTGACCTATGCACACTACTGGTACCTCAAAGCAGCATAGAGTCATGTTCTACAGCTATGAAGTGGGCTGGCAAAACGCCATAAGCAAGACTTTTCACTCCCAGTCTGATACATCTAATTATTGCAGCTGGTGCTTCTGAAACCCCATATGACATGATCTGCATGTAATGTATGTGTTCATGCTGTTCTGCTAGGAATAGGTTTTGTTACGTATCACTAATAGTTGTTACATTTGAGAAGATGACAACCTGTACTTTCATTCATGTCTGACTTTTTTTTGCTAGGGCTCAGTCTGAGCTAGCCAAATAGTTTCTCTTCAGCAGCAGTTATCACCTTGCACCTAGTTGTATGCTATATGACATCCTTTTTCCCTTCCTATATTTCTTTCTCTCCTGTCCCTGCAGAGACATCCTAAAGCCAGATGTAGTCTAGGCAGCTCTGAAATGAGTGACTGTACAACTAAAGAGGTACAGGTCTGAAAAAAATTGGCTCAAATCTGCAGTGCACCTTCAGTAATTACAAAGGTGGTAACCCCAAATATAAGCTAATGCTGCCAGTAAGCGAGCTATCCTGATCTAAATTATCTCCAGTATTGCTTCATGAGTATGTACCAACATTAGTATTGGTTTTAGTCATTGTCAGATGCATCTGTTAATGGCACTGAGCTGATGTTACCTCTCACAATAATTTTTTCCCATTTATTCTTAAAGCAATACATAACTCCTCTTCTGGTTTGAAAACAGTGTTGAGATAGCTACTGTCTCAAAAGAAAGGTTTCAGCCAACTTCAAAGGTCAGACATTCATAAGTCTAAATAGAGCATACTTGGCTTATGTGGCATGTCCACTGACAGTGTTACTTGATATATTTTAAAATATCTTCTATTGACTTTTTTTTGTATAGAAATAGAATAAAAATTTGCTCAGTAAGTCTGAGAAACTGAGGAAGTATACAAAGTGCTTTATAATTTGCACTTTTCAATAGCCTTGTCAGGTAGCAGTGTGAAACCCAATTGTGCCATTTCCAGTAAGTATTTTGATTCCTTTAACTTATATCCAGTTATCAGAAAGTAATTTATGTCCCTTTCATACGGTGCTTCTTACAATGATCCATGGCTTCTAGAGGAGCCCAAGATAGTCTAAATTGTGAGGAGGCAACGCTAAAGAAAAGAAAAACAAAACCTAGTGTTTTATGAACATGCTATTCTCCTTTTCCATTCTTAAATGAGCCTGACCTTTCCTTGTAGTGCAAAACACTCAGCTGAGCTGGAGTAAGTGCTCCCATTTCCACCAGCTCCTCAGGATGGTTAAATCACCTGAATCCTCTATCACTGCAGTCTTGATGCTGCATTTAGAGGTGGAGTGCAATGGAAACATTTGGATAAAACACTATCTTGTTCTTTTTTTGCCAGGGATTAGCAGATTTGTGCTGAACCCATGAAACTGCAGGCCTGCCCAAATCACAGTGCTGCGGAGAGTGTGGCAGTTTCCATTGGGAAATGATTTGCAAGTTCAGGAATTTTTGAAGCAACACCCCAAGTGGGATACGGTTTCTAAATGTGACACCTCAGTGTAGAACCCTAAAAGTGACTGGATTCCTAAATTCCTCATAATCAGCAGAACCTACATTTTGATTCATTTTTTTCTAAACCACCAAATGCTTTGGTAGAGATTGGAGATGTCTCAGGTTAGCCCTTCTGGCCTCTAGCTTTAATTCATGTGGCATGCCCATTTTTCTCTTCCCAGAAAGCCCCATCTGTCTTGTTCTTTATGCCAGCTCCATGTGGATGCCTTGGGCATCCTGAAGCACTTCAGATGGCACTCAATAGCCATATGCCAGCAAGTGCATCAAGCCTCCAGTGACTAGGCATTGACTTTAATGAGAGCTTGGAGACTAAGCAAAATTGTAAACACATTCATATGTACACCTCACTTTAGTCACCTTCTCCTGGAGTTGAATCCCAGCCCTTAAACTACCAGCTGGCATAATGGTGAGGGTGCCTGCATGTCAGAGACTCTTGCACTTGCACCTCTCACAAAGTACTGAGCAAAAGGATTATGAGTTATGTCTACTCTTACTGCTGAGCTATAACATTTTCAGATTTTTCTCTGATCAAGTGAATGGTTACCTAAGGAATTAAAGTTCCACGTCTGTGCCAAAAGAGAGGCTGGTATTCTCTATAGTGCGATAGTCAGGCATTTTGCTGAGAAATGAGGGACCTTGAGTCACATCAATTGCTTGAAGTAGGCAAAGCAGGTACATGAAGCATAGAGCACAGGGTTCTGGAGGCACTTCAGCAGCACTGTTTCTTTCTATGTCTTCCTTTATTTTCTTTAGTCCAGCAAAATATTGAGAAAGACCTTAGTTGTATCTTCACATAGAACAGCTGCAGCTTTCTGAAATCTCAATAATTTTTCTGAAAAAGAGTAATTTCAGCTGAACATAACCAGAATTACCACCCCAGTCTGTATTTCCCTATTTCTCCCTTTTACTGTTGGTTTAATTCTTGAATACTGTTACCGTGTGTCTGGAATTTTGGGGGTATCCACTGTTTGTTGCCTAAGGTTGTTTATATTACAATTTACTATCAGTTGCCAGAGGATACTTACTCAGGAAGAAGAGAAAAGAATTAACTGAGGCAAGGAACAAAGCAGCAACAACAATTCAATCTCACTACAGGGGATATAAGGAGAGGAAGAGCTTCAAAAGGAGGAGGTAGTAATATTTTCTGTCTCTTATGTCACTGTGTCCCTTTTCAGTAACTGCATGTGATGTAGTGAAACAAATTATTCTAGATATATATGTAGTAATGTATATTCACTTAGAGTTCTTTTAATGTCCATAGGCAATTTTCTTGTATTTTCACGCCCAGGAGATACTATAATGTTAATACAACCTGTAAGTGAATCTCTTTTTGGAATGGGCTCATTGCAAGAAAATATTCAGAGAAGAGCAAGAAGTAGGCATCTGTGAGGAACTGCTCTCTTCTTAAGTCAATGTCTGATAAGCATAGGAGATGACGAGCAGGAACCTAGATGACTTGCTCACATCAGACAACAGAAAGTAAGGGGAGGTGAATCACATTGTAAACATCCCTGCAACATGGTGGTAGTCCCAGTCTGAAGTGGAGCACTTGGCATCACAGCCTTGCTTTCAGTGACAGCATTTCAGCAACTGTGGTCCAGAGAGGTAGAGAGCAGCTGCAAAGGAGTCCACAGTCTTTCTCGGGAGATAATGGGCAGGAACACTGTGGCCCTAATTCTAGTTATATGCACTGAATTTTCACCATGTTACAATCTATCAAATTGCCATTTGCTACACGATGGTAGTTCAAAAAAGGGAATTGTAAAGCTGTCATTATCTTTCATCTCCTTCAACTGTAATTTTCCCCCCAAACCCTACTCCATTTAGGGAATCTCTTAGAAAGAAAGAAACTGAGAATGCAGCATCCTCTAGTGAAAAGGAGAAGGACAAAGAACTTCAAGAAAATGAGGAATGTACAGCTGGAGTGAAGAGTGCCCTTCCTAAAACAGAAGAAGAAGCAGCTATCGTTGTTCAAAGCAATTACAGGGGCTACAGAGCCCGTAAAAAAATAAAGGAAGAACGCAAAAAAATAGCAGAGGAAGAATTATCTGTTGTGGAATATCTTGAAGCACAGCTGCAGCCAGCTGAAGATGTTACACTGGAAGAAGCAGAGAATGAGGAGACTCAAGGAGAAGGTGATGCTGTTAATGATAATGAGCACACTGGGAATGGTGACATAGGAAATGTACAGGAGCAAAAGATAATATCTGCTAAAGAAGAGAGAGCTTCTGTGAAGCAGAGGCCTGCAGTAGAGCATTCTGATGAAGGTGAAGAACAGGCATCCTTGAAAGAATCATCCAGCAAAGCTTCTGTCAAAATCACAGCTGAACCTGGTCCCCAGCAGGAGCAAGCTAACCAAGACACACACAGTGCAGATGGGCAAAATCAAGAATCTGCCGTGGTCCAGCCTGAGACCAACAAGGATGTGGAAAGAAACCATCTGAAACAAGAAATGATACCTAGAGGATGTAAAGGAGTTGTAAGAAAAGAGTCTCTAAGAGGTTCACGGAAGCAAGTTGAAGCAGAAAAACAAAGTTTAGAGGACAAAGAGAAAGCAGCAGTGGTTATTCAGAGCAATTACCGGGGTTACAAAAGGAGAGGACAACTCAGAAAAGAAGGGAAATTACCTTGCAAAAGTCAAGAGAACACTGCAAAGGAGTCAACAGAAGCAGTACACATTCAAAATAAAGATCTCCAAACAAAAAAAAATAAGGAAAGCACTGTGACAGAGGCTGAGGGCTCTAAGACACAGAAGGGAGGATCTGAAAAAGAGACTTGTGATTTGGCGGCCTTTTCACGGCAGGTAAGAAGCTTATAAATGAAATATATGTAACATGCTGAGCAATGACAGAATGGCAGTCATTTTACTGGCTTCAGTAGAACCAGGTCTTCATTCTCTCAGCTGAGACTGATGTTATTTTAATGAGCATTGCAAAGAAATGCATATTTGGGGCTGCAAGAGAAATACCCTTTTTCGGAAAGAAGGGGAAAATGAAGTTAGAAAACTGGGGAAAAAATTATGTCAGTATTAACCCAAATGCAGAAGCTCTGACTTTGAAATGTACATTGACCAGGCAAGGCCTTAATGTCTCTAAACAAAAATGCAAGTTGTTGTGTCAGTGCCATGAACTTAAACATGTTCAGAAAAGTGTACCTGTTGCAGAAGCTGTCTTGCATCCCAGTGTCACCAAAACAGCTCCTGCTCACCTGAGTGAACCAGTATCAAGTAGCTGCAGGACTGGGCTGCAGTGCAGGATTTCCTACACTTTTCTTTGTTGAGTTGATTGTTTTTTAAGGAGAGGACTGAGAGGTTGAGCGTAGTAGGGACCTGCACTGTAGCAGCTGGAGCAGTATGTTTTAAATTTATTCTCCAGTCCACCATTTTATCTTTGTTATCCTGGAACATATATATCTATATAACATTGAGAAATTGTATTATATTTTTCAGATATCAAAATTATCTGAAGACTACTTAGCATTGCAGCAAAAATTGAATGAAATGATACTGTCACATCAGCTGAGACCTGTGATGATGTCCAAAGATAAGCAAACTAACAACCAACATTCTTCTCATGTTTGTCAGTCAGGTAATGTTGAACGTTACAGTTAGGAAGAATTTTTCTTTTGTCAACAGGACTGTCAAGAAACAACTCCTATTCATGTTCCCAATGGCATTTTCCAAAGAAATATCCAAGCCTGGTAGAGATTTACACATTTACCATTTTCTTGGTATTTTGTTTCAGTGTTTGTTAAAATTGGTGAATGAATCCTTGTGAGACCGAGTCACAGCATCTCTAGAGATACATTTATTTTGCAAAAATTCCACATTGGTTCTTTTTTACTCATTGTTGCTCAGCAGGGTATGCAATGGGTAAAATCTGAGACTATATTAGGTATTATGTCAAATGTTTTACCAAACTCAGGCATTTTTGCTGAGTAAAATTTTAAGCTACCCAGAAGTGCAATTGAGTCTATCAAAAATTCTAATTCCTCCCAATGTTGATGGGGATGACTTTAAAATTATAAGTAAATTCTTATTAGTAGTTAGCATTCTTTTAACTTTTGTAGTTAAGAGTACATTACCTTTGAAAACACACTCCAAAGTTACTTATGTTCCATTTGGTATGGGCAGTGGAGTTCCCAAAATACAACCAAGACAATGGCAGCTGTTTGACCAGCTAAAGGTCTCATGAATTCAACAAGTGAATAGGATAAAACTGTATCAGCAGCAGAGTAGTACAAAGTCCTCCCTAAGCATTGCTATAAATTTAAGTAGCTCTACAGGAGACAAAAGAATGCCAGAGTTTATCACCTGTGAATGCAATCCCACTTAAAGTGTTTACCAGTCAGCCACTTAACTTCACTTTATCTTGGAACATGTCACTATTCTATACACTTGCAGTGTCATAATACAGCATTTTCCCAATGATGAAGTGCATGAAAGTGCTGCTTGTATCCTTTTAACACAGATGTAAAGAGTGTCACACATTTCTTTGAACCACTTTGTAAGTCAACAGTGAAAATAGTGTTGAGTTGCATAAGAAACCAGGACTTTGGCCTCATTTTGATGAAAAGAAAGAAAAATAATTTTTTACAAAATGATGTTATGTGATCTTAACAAAAGAAGGATTTATTTTCTTCATTTTTTTTTTTCCTCCCAATAAATGTATAGCATGACAACACTTTATTCTTTTGTACACTAGGCATGGTATTTAAAAAAATTTGGATTAGACACAGGGCCCCTATTTTAACTTTCTCTTTAATTTACAGGTGCAAAAATTAAATGCTTGTTAATAATGTCTAGTTGTCTTTTGCAAAAAATGTCAGCAATGATACTCATAGTCTATCTTTGGACAGTGTTACTCTTTTCAAAGGTAGATGCATTTAGAATGGAACAGTGGGTGCTATTCGACTACGAAGCTGCAACTGAACTCCAACCTTGCCCTTAAACACTGTAAGCTGTGAGTTAGGCAACTGTGTAAAATAAAGACTTGAGGTGTTGTGCTGCAGACTGCCATGCCTGAGGCAGGAAGACATGAGTGATGCACTGTATTTTAAATAGGGAGGAGCTTTTTGTTTTTTTCCCTGCATTGTGTTTCAGTATGATTTATACACACACATTTACAAGATATGTTTTTACTTCAGGTTTCCCTCTTGGGCCATTTTTGTTTTCCTGCCCTACAGCAGAGTTTGTTGAGCTTCAGCTGTTCTTCAGATCATGTCTATATCTTATTACTCTGGTGGTTTGCACTTATTTATACACCTTCTTCAGCTTCATTAGTTTCTTATGTCATTTTACAACTGTAACATGAGATGTGTATTTTATGGCTTTATGACAGATAGCAATGCTTGTCTGCCTTCATCAGTGGATAGGTGGCCTTTATCCATCTGAGAATTTACCCATTCCTCTGATAAAATATCCTATTATATTGCTGTCCACAGAAGGGGAGGAACTGTGGGAGAGCTGGATGGCGAACTGTGACAAGTGTTCAGATTTTCAAAGCTGTTTATTTTAATAAAAATGTAAATCCTGCAGTTTAAAGAACATTCAAGCCAAAAGTTTTAATGAATATTAAATCTACAAGGTTAAGTTGTTCATAAGTGAATTTATTAGTATTTATAAAAATGCATAAGGCACGCTGTACAAGGTTCCTGGAATAAGCAATATTCCCTGTGGCTCAAATCACTGACTGAGTTGTGTCTGCTTACTGAATATGTTCAGCTAAACAAAATGGCTGCATCCCAGGACTGCCCCTTTGGACTCCTGGTGAGCGTTGGGGTCATTCAGGGTTAGAACAGATGCACAAATGTAGTAGGCCACAGTGTAGATTTTGTGGTTAAAAACTGAAGGAAGGAAAAGTGATCATGATGGGAACAATTATTTTTTTTCCCACCAGATGAATAACAGTGCTCATCCTTGTAAGTATTAAATGACATTGTAAGTACAAATTCTCCGGAAGAGGATTTTCTATATTTAGACTGAAATTCTCATGGTACAAAGCACTTCAGAACAGCCAAGAACCCATTCAGCTCCACAAAGCAGTGAGACAGGTGGGGTCTTCACCCGGAACCCCCCTGCTGCTGAAGCACTACTTACACAGATTTCCTGGGCAGCCTTTGCAGGGAAGAGGAAGGTCAATAGCTGCTAATTTATTATTATCATATTCTGTAGTTCCAGTTACTATACCTGCATTTTTCTGGTTACTTCCACTCTCCTCAGCAAAACCCAGACAATTACTGAATCTCCTGCCTGTTTTTTTTTCCTGCTTTATTCTGGGGCTGGCTTTATCCTTCCCATCGGCATAAGATGTGGAGCAGTGCTGAATAAAACAAGTACCATGTCACCTCAGTGACATGCAGCAGGTTTAACTGTTTCTCCAGGTTACCTAATAAATAAAGACCTTTCATTGCTCAGATGCTTATCACAGCTGTAGACTCTCTGTTTCTTCAGTACTCAGTATATGATCCGTTGTAAGACAGATGTTAATTTGCATTAACATCCTTAGATGTAGATTCCTCTAGATTGTTGTCTTCCAAGGTTATCACTGTATGTCAGGATGTGCAGAAAGTTCAACCTAAAGGGCAGGTGATACTTACTCATCTTTATTCAAACATTTCTGTTCTTGAATGTTTCAAATAGACACTGCTTTCCAAATTTTCTGTAGTTTGAAGGAAATCTTTCAGCTTTTAAACTTGTTTGACCCATCTTCCTGTTGGTAAAATCTTAAAAACCAATGTCAGTGAATTTTCAAATGTTTTTGTTTCTAATTTCTCCTGTGCATTGCACTAAGGCACGTGACCGTGCAGCAGCACTGACAGCACCTGTTTGTGTCTGTGCAACCACAGAGCACAGACTAACTGCCCTGTGGAAATTTAGGAAAATTTTCTTCTTTGAAAGCGTGGTTGGGCATTGGCACAGGCTGCCCAGAGAGGTGGTGTAGTCACCATCCCTATAGGTGTTCAAGAAACATGTGGATACTGAGGGATACAGTTAGTGGGCATGGTGGTGATGGTTGGACTAGGTGATAATAATGGTCTTTTCCAACCTTAATAATTGTATGATTCTTTGAATGGACTTTTATCATTTTTGTGGTATGCATGTTTAAATGTTCATTAGGTAGAAACATGGTTTTCCCTTTCAGATCAAAAACACAGGACCAGATCTTCCGGCAGATATTTGAAGTTCTAAATAGAAAAGGCAATAAGATATTTTACTGTAGTGCTCTGAAAGAAAGCTTTTCTATGTAACAAAGCAACATATTTTGCCTGTTAATAAGTGAATGATTTTACTCTGTTCTGCTCCATTGCCTGCTGCAGAAAGGTATAGACCATCTGGAAAACAAGCACATCAAACTGACCATTTATCAAGCTTAGATATTTAATTTGTCTTCCACCTTTAACTTGACTGAGTAAATGATTTCTGGAAGTAGCAGCAAAAAGTAAACCTTCCCTTGTGCAATGAGTTGTCCAATACTACAACTAACTACCACCACATCAGCTGTGTTTCAGTAGCAACAAACACACAGATCAAGCTTCTTTTACCCACTGTGTAATTTGAAGGCAAAACTCAGAATGACGTTTTCTGTTCTCTGTGTAATTTTATAAAGGAACGGTTGATGTCCAAGCTGAGAAGACTGGCTGCTCAGGATAATTCTTCTGTCCCCTCAGTTCTTCTGAATAGCTCATAGATATGCAAAGTGCACAGGACAAGATAAAAAGCTGTTTTTTACTAAAACCCCATTGTCAAAATGATTTTTTGAATGTAAGAGGAGTCTTCTTTGCAGAACAAATAAATGAGAAACATACAACTATTTCCAGTTGGAATAATTGTAATATAGAATAAGGGAATGCTCTAATATGCAAAACAGTGATGAATTCAATGATGTAACAGCATACACTGTTACGAATTCTTAAGGGAAAATTAAAAAAAAAAATAAGTATTATGAAGTATTTTCCTTAAGATTTTCTTAGAGCCCACAGTTTGATTCCATGTTCTTTTTCCAGATTTTCATGCAGTCAGGATTTTTGATGCGGTTTTTGTCCTACACACAAGCAGTTTTGTGTTTGTTTTGAATTACGTAGAGTTTTAAGGGATAGGGCTTTTCTTTTTGTTTTGGGTTGTGGGTTTTGTGTTTGTTTTTTTTTTATTTGGTTTTGTGGATTTTGTTACAGTGTTGCTTTATTTTAAGGCATTGTTTCCAGTTAGGCTCCTGTTGGGTTTAAGAATACAATAGCGAAGTTTTTCTTCTACTGTGCCAAAGGGAAACTCAGATAACTCCAGGAGGCCCATGTGAAATGTAGCAGAGTAACAACAGCCCATGTGGAGCACAGTCAGGCCTTCCATACCATTTCAAATAAAAGAATGTAATTTATATTTCATACAGGTTAGTGAAATGAATTTCTTCCATCTGAATCTCATTGTTTCATAGGAATTATCTGTACCTTGACTTAGAAAAACACCATTGTTCTCTTACATTGCAAAATGTTAAAAGGTACTTGTTTCATTCATGACGTGAGAAGCCGTCTGCATTTCAGATAAGAAACTAAGACAATGAATGTAATCATTATCCCACTACAATTTAAATGAACATTATTCACTCTGGCTCCTCTGTATATCCATGACCTTTACAAGCCTTTATTTATCATACCTAACAAAAAACTTACACAGCTAATTTTGCAGGAGTCAACAATGATGTATTACTGACCATTTCTCATTTGAAATGATCGTGCTTTCTCCTTAATTAAAAAGATGTCTCATGTACAGGGGAGAGGTTTCGTTTTAACAGTGTTAAAGAGTTTCTGGTGGCCATTAGAGAACAAAATATGTTCTTCCTTCTGAGATGCAATCATGTGTAATTAGCACATCTGGGTTATGGAGTCAGAGTTGCTTCATATGAAGCAGTAGATGAGCAGAATGCATTTCATTAGCTCATTGACAGCTAGCTATTTATTCCACCCTCACTATCTTCAATTACGTGTGCAGAGATGGTTTCTTTCAGGGACTCTCATGCAGCCCATGAGTCAGCGTCCAGCCTGGAGCTGGGAGACAACCACTGGACAGCAGTTTCCATTTTGTGTAAACTCTTGGTTTTATTTCCTTTAGAATGAAAACATTCTTTCCATGTCTGTAGAAGATTTCTGCAAAAGCAGAGACCACAAGTTGAGTAAACTAGAGAATGTAGACTAGATTTCAGTGGGTGCAGTGGGCATTGTCACACTGTGTTGCCCAGTGGTATGTCTTTTGACTTGACACAGAACAGCCTCAGCAGGAGACCCTGGGGAAAACCTACACCATGATAGCATAGAGGACCAGCCTTTGAATCAGAGAGGGAAGAGATTTAATGCTGTTTCTCATGTTTGGCACCTCAGTGATTAATATCACAACCCTGCTCAGCTCCCTGTCGTGAGTTGGTGGCATTCCAACAGATGCTGCCCCCTAGAGCCTCTCTCTCAATGAGCAGCACGAGCCCTACTAAGGAGAAACGTATGCCAGGCAGACTGCTGGGATGCTCCAGAGTGACCTTCACTACATGGCGTGTGTCTGTGTGGGCCATCAGAGCTCACATGAGTAAACTCATTCTCCTTTCCAGTCTGTTTGCGGAATTGCCCCAAACAGCTGCATTCTTGAGTGACTGCAAGTGGTAAAAGTGGCTACATGGACTTTTTTTTTACTCTCTGGTGAAATCCTCCTCTTTTTATAGAAGCCTCCCATTCTATGAAGAAATAAGCTTTGCTATTTTCTGTTTTTTCACAGTTGCAGCCAAAGTAGAAGACACTCGCCCACTGCAAAGACCCCCAAGGAGGCCGCGGAAGCCCAAGACATTAAATAACCCTGAAGACTCCACCTACTACACTCTAATACACGTGAGTTTAGCAAGCTATTGTGGGCTTAAACTGCCAGATAATTCCCACTTAAAAATACTTTTTAATTGCCTAATACTTGTGTTCATTTCTGATGCAGCGTGAGAGCTGTGTCCTGCTGAAACGTCAAATCTCAAACCAGATTTGAAATTAGTAAGGTGCAGTTACTCTGCTTGGAGCCCTAAATTGGGCCAATATTTACTTTTGTACCTGAACATATCTACATTCATAATATGCATAAGCAGCATTTGCACTTTCAATATATAAAATAAGTGCCTGCTCTCTGTGGATTCTTTATAAGTCATGGGGAAAAGCAGGTTCATTCAGAGAGCTATTTTGAGCATCTAAATTAGTGCTTGATCTTGCAGAGAGAGCAAATATTAAAATAGGCTGTATTAGTATGCACACTGTAACTTCCTTTACAAATGTGTCAGATTGTGATTATGAAGGAATTGGCAAATACAAACAGCTCAAGAGACTAATGGATTTGAGTGTCTCTATATATAGCCTTTGGTCCAAGTTCAGATACCAAGGTCTGCTTTCCATTCTTGACTTTGGTGCCCTTAATATATGGGGGGGAAGCAAGAAAGTAAGCAAAAAGAGAAAACGTGAAAGCAGCTCAGAAAGCAGTTCCAACAGAAAAGCAATTAAACTCATTTGCTCGAGGTGCCTGTATGTTAGTGACCTATTTTAGCAGCCGGTGAGAGCCCAGCTAATAAAATAACCGTAGCAATTGCTTCTCCTTTCAACAGAAGGTGTCACAGGGGCCTGCAGGGAGACTTGTGTCTGGCATGCCAAAAAAGACAAATACAGCTATGGTTTATTATGGGGGCTTGTAAATAACACAGCTTTGAAACAATGGCATTCTAAAACGAAATGATATTCTTAAAAATAAATTGGTATGTAAGAATAAGATGTGTTTTGTGAAAACAAGATTGGTAAGATAAAGGACTGAAATGAAAGACATGACACTGTATTTTGTATTGTAAAAATGTCTGAGAAGTATAATTCAGTATAATTCTAAAGCAAATGCCTATTTAGAAAGCTGAGGCAATACAGGCAGGAACATTTTATTTTATGAAAACAAATCTGTTATGCGGCCAACAATCAGAAAAATGGCATCACATCAGTGCAAACAAAAACTGCAGTGATGCTGGGGACTTTTTAAACAAGTTTTCAGCAGCAATTTTCCAATATATTAAATAATATTGCTTTCAATTAATTGTGTTTTTCAAGAAATTGTAAAAAAGGGAAGTCTGTCTTTCCTTTAGAACTTTAAAATTTGCTGGTGAGGTAAAGATTCACTATCAATTTGTGCTGAAGCTTAGGAAGTGAACATACCTCTTCTTCTGTTCTTGGACACTGGACAAGTCACTGAGCTCTGATTTGAGATACCAGAAGGCAGTCAGCTTTCCCATCTTTCATGGCTTTTTTGCCTTACAAAAAATCTCCATGGCCAACAGCTCTTCACAGGGTAATGATTATCAGGACCAGATTGCCTGAAAGTTAAAGCACACAGTATGAGAACATGGGTTTTTTTTTAATTTCCTTTGCCTTATGGTCCCTCCTACAAAAGCAGGTCTTTCTCTCACTTCACACTACAGATGTGAGACAAGTTCCATTCTGACTCATCTTGCATATCAAGATTAAGTGAAGCCTGATGGTAGGCCATTGGTCATGCAAGTCACTTACAGTTTACTTGGGACTTTTGTTGTTTTGTTTTATAAATCAGTCTTATCATTTTCAAATTATATGTCTTGTGCATTTGCCTGCATACTGAGGTGTCCTTCAGGATCCCTCATTCTCAGTGGCTAAACTGCATACAATTCACAAATTCTAGTCAATTTCCACTGGTTTGTTGGTTGTTGTTATTTTTTTTTTCCCACAGCATGGTAACTGATTTTTGGGAGTAACAGTGCTGACACATTCTCAGTGACATGTTTAGTCACAAAGATGCTGAGGTTTTGCTGGTGCACTTGCTCTGTTACTCCGCAAATAAGTTCTGTGTACTTTCTTTTAACAAAAAATACACACCACTTCCCCAGCAAGCATACTGATGAATTGTATCTTTACATAAACTTTCCTCTTAGTATTTTTTTAATTACACTGTGGTTTGTTTTAGAAATCAATACAAGATGAAAAACGGAAACCAAGAAAAGAAAGGTAATTTTTTCCATTTTTTCACTATTGTCTTTTTAGTAATCTAGAAATAGTTCTTAGCTGCACTTCAGCTAGGAAAATAAAGCATTAAAAATGCATAGTAATGTGGTGATTCAGAGGAAGGGCATCATATACAAAGTTAAATATGCAATTTTCAGCGACAAAAATCCATTATGGAATTCAGTTGTTTGGTTTTACTGCAGCATGGCCCTTTACCATGGCAACACAAGCACAATAATAAGTTAAGATAAGGTCCACAGCAAAGATAGTTCTGACACAGAAAATAATTGAAGGTGCTTAAAATTCCAGTCAAAGCAAATGAGCAACCACTTCTCTTTTGTTAACCAAAATTTGAAGACTGTTAAAATTTTCTCCTAAAAATATACAACAGTTTGGTAATAATCATAAAAAATGGAAACAGTAAGATATTAATACAACTGTAAGATAATAATAACAGGTAAAGCAGTGTAGCCATTGAAATTTCAACTAGAAATCTTTTCTTCACCGTGTAATTAACCGGTTTTGATAGATCTCTGTAGAAACAAAGGAAGCAATACGTACACCCTGCCTTTCTGTATTTAAGATTCTTACGTCTGCTTTAGGCTCTGGTTCACAGCTTCTGCCTTATATCCTAGCACCCTATTATTTGTGTTCATATACATCAGCTTTTCTGCTGCTCCCTAGGGACACTGTAGTTCTATGGAAGCCTGTTCAGAGAGGGAAGGTAGGTACTTGAGCAGTGTGTGAATGGGCTTTCAGTGCTATCCTTGGCTGAGGCTGCAGAATACAAGCTCTATATCCAAAAAATATATCCTAAATGAAGTTATATTACGTATATGCCCTTGATGTGTGCTCACAGCATATAGCTTCATTCAACCACTGTTTAAATTGCACTTCATTATGCAACTGCTTAAAGGACTCACTTAACATCTATGTCAGTTCTAAGTTACAGCTCTTCTGGTGCTGTTTGTATCTTGAAAATAATACAGTTATATTATGTTTAGCAAACAATAGTAATAATAATAATAATAATAATAATAATAATAATAATACAATAACAATAATTTTCCCATCTTGCCTCAGTTTGGCTTCACTTGTCTTAAATCTGGTTAAATGTTTCATGTTCCAATGTTCCATGAAAGCATCTTCTTTCATGTGGTGATTCTACATTAGTTGAACACAGCAATTGAAATCAAAGAGTTATTTCTACCACTGTGAGAACAGAATTCTGAAGGTTCTTCTTCAGGTTGCTTGTAGGATAGATTTTTTCCCTAACCTTTCTAAATTGGATGTCTGGATTGTGGTGGTTTTTTATTTGTACATATTACATTCTGGTTTAACATTCTAAAAACATACAGACATCTGCATTATTGGCACCAGTATCTGAACTGGTTGCTTTAGACTCTCTTCACATAGTAAGATGGAAAAAAAATAGGTATCTCTAGGAAAATTATTCATATCTTCCTAAGAGAGCTGCCTAAAATAGATCAGATGAATTGTACCATAAACATGCCTCCCCAGTGAATGCAATAGTAAACTCAGACCTTTTTAGTTACACATTCGCTTTATGAACATCTGAAAGTACCTAGCATTGCAAAATTGTCAGCACCTGCATCACACAGCAGTTACATTCCAGAGAATCATTTCTTATGTTCACATATATTTTTCTTTACACTCTCAACACAGAAATGATATTTGGTTGTATTACTTTTGAATGTTCAATATACTGTTGAAAAGTGGAATTGTTAACTTAGATTACTTATTTATTGACAGTCTGGGCAAGGTGCTAGATTTAGATATCTACTATCATGAAATTTCATCTACTGGTTCCACCTCAAAGGACAGCAGCTCTACCACAAAAAGAAAGAGGCATCCCATCGAGCGCAGAACTTCAACTTTAAGAGCTACTGAGAGGTAACTTACAGAAAAGCATAGTAGGAGAAATAAATGTTGTATATCCTTGCAGAGAAAAAATATATTATGTGCATGTTCATTAAAAAAAAACAAAACAACAACAACACACAACAAATTAGACAAACTATTTTTTTAGTTTGTTGAATCTTGCTAAATTAGCTTGGAATATGGATAGCTGAAAATTTTCCATCTTCATTTGGAGGAACAAATGATAGCATGGTTTATCTCCAGCCTGCCCACCTGTTTTGGCTTCCAAAGCTTCAGATGAGATAGACTCCTGCTGTAAATCTTTGATCGAAAATCAGATCCAGCTAAAGCAGAACCTGACTCATTTCAACTTCCAAAAAGGTGGACATATGCCAGATTTTTCACCTGCCTTCTGCAGATAAGACCCCTGCTTGAGTGCCTCCTCCTGCTGTCCCATAGCACTGTTTGTGTTCATGGCTGCGGTGGCATCGCTGGAGTGAGTAGTCAGGAGAGGAGCATTGAAGGCTAGGGTGGCTCTTCCCACACAGACTTCATAGAGGGGGACCTCTGCTGGGCAAAGAAAATTCATATTCTTACCAATGCACAGGCACAGACTGCACATACAAAAACATCCATGTTTATAAATATTTAGGTCTCTGTATCTTCATATATATAAGAGAAACCTGCAAAGCATCCAAGTAAAAATGTAAAGAAAACGCCAGGATGACTGCTGGACTTAAAAACATACCAAAGTAATTACAAAAATGTTGATAGAGCTTTCTGTGCTTGTTGGTTGTTTTACTTTTTGGCACTTTATAGGCAGTGTTTAAGTTAGTTGTAGAATGGCATTGTGAAGGCGTGGAATTAAACATCATGTGAGGGAATTACTTCACTTGTTAAATGATGCTTTGCTGTTAATTACTCCAAATCTTTCACTCTTCGGCTAGAAAGCCGTGAAATAATGCGAGGTCTGATTTATATGGATGAGAAATCCCACATGTTCTCAGTGGCTTTGTGCCCTTTGTTGTGACCCCATTGCAGAAGAACACGTTGTTCTGCGTTCATCTCCTCAGCTGCATTTGTTCTGAGGCGCTGCAGCACGGGTGGATGAGGCCTAGCACAGCGGGTTGGGTTTTCTTTCAGTTTTTGTCTTGAGGGTGGAAGTTAAGCGGCCGATTAGGAGTGTTTGCCAAGGTAAATGTTTTCATTTCAATCCCTGAAACACTTCTGCACTTAATCCCTAGGTCAAGGGTTGCGGAGAGCCCCCTGGAAGAAAGCAGAGCAGAAGATAATCCCTATGACTACCGGAGGCTGCTGCGGAAGACCTCGCAGCGCCGGCGCCTTATCCAGCAGTTCTAGCCCCGCTGCCGTTTGCTGTTATTAGCATCATCTTTTTTATCATTTTATACCACATGCTTCCTTTTTTTTTTTTTTTTTTTTTTTTTAAATCTCTGACATTTCAGGTTTACAACATGTGTGTTCATGTCAGTACGAATCACTGTAGTTTACAGCCCAACACTGATGCAAAGGGACACCGTCACTCCTGGCAGATACCCTTAAAAAAAATAAGGAATCAGGTTTCCTTCAGATACCACTACTGCATCTTAAAATTATTAAGCATTAAGCAGCCTAAATGTAGGTTACCTTCCTCGGTGCGTGTTGTTTTCCTCTCTGCATTTAATCACTCTTACCCAATTAAAATAGACCATTTAGTTTATCATTTCCTCATTAAGCCTGCAAAATCCCATAGGCACCTCCAGAAAACCTTAGTTATTGTTTCTAGTAAATTGTTTTACAGGAAGAAATAAATGACAAGGACACCACAGGGGAATTTCTATTTATTTTAGGTTTACAATGCCTAAATTTTGGGATAAGCTCTCGGTGGTATGTGTCCCTCTAATGAAAACAAATGATTAATTGATCGCGTGCTGTAGCAGTTTATTTCACTACTGACTTTGCTGTAAGCCAGTGGCCAGCGATAAAGGTTAGCACTGCGTGTAGCATTGGAGATGTCGGCGGATGGAAGGACCCAGCCCTCCTCACCCCGTCACTAACAGAGCATTTGGATCGTGTTTGCTTTGTTCTGCTTTGCATTAGATTTTTAGGAACCTTAATCTCTGGGGTGCCAAGAAAGGAACAGAAAGATGCTCTCCGGTTGATTGCTGCCTAAATGTAATGATCATTCTTAATCAGTTCCACTAGAAATTAAATGGAAATAAAGGCGATAGCCACCGTGTTCAAAATTTCCCCTGATTCCTTATTCACAGGCCCTTATTTCGCCTTATTATGTGGATAATTGCCGTTATTCCTTTCAGGATTCATAATTGCATGTTGCCAGCTGTACAAGGGGAGGTAGATTTCGGGAAGCCAGCGGGAAGGCCTGGTCGTGCCCCTGCCGCGCTCCATAGAGGCTACAATAGCACAGGTTGGGATTTTGTCCCCCCGCACACACAGCCCTCATTGAGGGGTAGGCAGTCATCGCCTCCAAACCTCGCACTGACAGCGGGGCCACAGCACCGGGTTACAACGTGCTGCGATGTAAAATTTGCGATAAATCATTGAAATTTCAAAATCTGTGTTAAAATTGCTTTCTCGAATATTATTCAACCGGTACAGTTAATAACAACGCGTGAGGCGGGGACGCGGCCGTCCGTGCCTCAGTTACTCTCGGCACCGACGGAACACGGGCAGCGGGACCGCCGCGCCATCCCCGCTGCGGGGCGCAGCCAGGGCCGGGCCGCGCCGTGTGACCGCCTTCGGGCTCGGTTCGCGGGGTGCGGGTGCGACCCAGGTGTGCGAGAGCAGTGCACAGCGCGCTCCGAGGGGCTGGGCGGCGGAGCGGCGGCTCGAGAGGAGCAGCGGGGCATCCCGAGGGCGGCGACGGGAGAGAAGCGAGGGGCTGCCCCCGCCCCAGCCGCCCGCTCGCAGCCGCGGGGGCGCCCCGGGGAAGGGCGGGGAAAGACGGGGATTTCTCAGCGCTTCGCGGGGGGCCGCACGGCCGCAGCTACGGTGCGAGAGAACGCCCTCCGCCCCACCCAGCGCGGTGCCGGAGCTCTCCGTTTATCCCGTCCCGTCGGTGCCCGCCCGGAGGTACCCCGCCGCCGCCACCGCCCCTGCCGAAGCGCCTCCCCCGAGCCGGAGGTCCCGTCCCGTCCAGTCCCGTCCCGGCGAGGACGGCGGCTGCTCCTGCAGGGAGCGTCCTGCGGCGCCCACGGAGCCGCCCCCACCCACGCGTGCCCGGGGCGCCCCCGCCCCCTCCGCTCGCCGCCACCCGGCGCAGCCGCGCGCTCTCACACGGCCGCGCTCTCGCCCTCGCGCACACCCGCTCGGGGCCGCCCGGGCTGCAGCTCTCAGCTCTTCGCCGCTTCGGCTCCTCCATGGCGAGCCCCGGCTCCGGCTTCTGGCCCTTCGGGGCCGAGGAGGGCTCCGCGGCCGCCGAGAGCCCCGGCACAGGTAGGGCGGCGCCGAGCGGCCGGGAGCGGCCCGAGCCGACCCGACGGAACCGCGGCGTCCGACGGCGGCCTCGGAGCGGCGGGACCGGGGCTGCCGGCGGGGTCCCGGGGAAGGGCGAGACCCCCGCCCGTCCCACGGACCCCCGCTCCGTTCTGTCTTGCAGCCAGAGCCTGGTGCCAGGTGGCACAGAAGTTCACCGGAGGCATCGGCAACAAGCTGTGCGGTAAGGGCCGGGCCGCGGGGCGCCGGGGCTCAGCCTCGGGACGGGGAGGGGGGCCGGGGGCCGCGGCGCTCAGCGCGCGTCCCCGTGTCGTTGTCAAGCGCTGCTCTACGGAGATGCCGAGAAGCCCGCGGATCCCGGCGCCAAGGCAGCCCCGAGGGCAGCGGAGCCGCGGCCGTCCTGCCCCGCCTGCACCTGCGACAAGAAGCCCTGCGGCTGCCGGAGAGCCGACGTCAACTACGCGTTCCTGCACTCAACAGGTAACGGCGCTCCGCGGCGGCCCCGGACTCGGCGGCTCCGCGGGGCACCGAGCTCCGCACCGCCGCGCAGTCGCTGGGAGTACGGAACGAAAGGATTCCTAAACATAATAAAAATGAAAACCCGGCGCTCTGGAGCCCGAGGGTCGCTGGCTGTGAGGATGAGCGACCTTCCCGCTGCAGACCCTGTGGGGGTGGTGGTGGGCTGCAGGGAGGAGGGACCCTCCTTGAGCTCACGGTGACTTCGCCCTTCAGCAGAGCCCCCCGCCCCGTGCTGCTGCGGGACGGCGCGGCCGCGGCGCTGCCCGGAGCGCGGCACCGTGCTGCCAGCCAGCTGTAGGCTGCGGGGACAGGGCTCCATCGCACACTGATGGCGGGGAGGGGGCTGCGTGTGGCCGCTATCTTCCTGTTTACCAACTTCCCGTTTTTTCCCGAGATTCGTTTTTCCTTTTTTCCCCGTTCACCTGCCGTCTCTCGCTGTCTCAGAAATTGATCTGAAATATCCTGGCAGCAAAAACCGCTATTTTAGATGGGGAAATGAAAACCTGACCGCATCCCTTGGCACGTCCCTTGAAACACGGTCCATATTCCTTAACAAATCAAAGTAAAATCTCTTTATGCCGAACACAACAAAAAAGATCTGCCAAACACAAAAGGAGCAGCCTGGGATCTGTGCGGTCCCGCAGCAGTGTTAACTTTCCCCCTTCATCCCCAGACCTGCTGCCGGCATGCGACGGGGAGGCAGCGACGCTGTCCTTCCTGCAGGACGTGGTGGACATTCTGCTGCAGTACGTGGTGAAAAGTTTTGACAGATCAACGAAAGTGATCGATTTCCACTACCCCAACGAGCTGCTGCAGGAGTACAATTGGGAGCTGGCGGAGCAGCCGCAGACCTTGGAAGAAATCCTCCTAAACTGCAGGACCACGCTCAAGTATGCCATTAAGACAGGTATGGCTGCACTGATGGAAGCGGTGTCTCGTTGCGTCCCGGTGTGTTACAAATTGGAGCAACCCTGGAGCTCTGCTATTTCCAGGCAGTTTCTGACAGAGCAGGGACTGTTTCCAGCCCTGATGCTGTCGGTGCAGCATCACTCACCCCCTCTCGTTTAAAATGAATCCTCCGATTTCCTCTTTTTTTCCTCCTCTCCGTTTCACCTGGGGGGGCCAGGCCTGTGTCTTACCTCCCCTGGACCAGGGCAGAAGTGCAGGGACCTTCCCATGGAGCAGCCCCAGTCCAGCAAACGTGGATTGGAGTCCACGGGGCTCTGGGTAGCCATTTGCCACCTCTGTCCCTTCACTTGTGTAAGGACTTAAAATTAGAAATGTGTCTAAACTCTCTGCAGAATTATTTATTATTATTATTATTACTTTAGGGTTAAAAATAAAAACAAAGCTTAAATTGCCTAAATGGCCCTTTTTTTATTTCCACTGGGAAGCTGTGTCCCACTGCCTGGCCGTGCTCCGGGGCCACCTTAAACCCAGACAAAAAGCACAGCGGCAATTAGCGCTGAGACTGGGAGATAAAGCGGAGCGCACGGAGCTCTTGGGGAGAATTTGAATTGCTGAGAAATTGCTTAAAAATAAGTGTGCACCGATTGCTGGGAGAGACAAAGGCTGGTGGGTGAATGGGGGCTGTAGGGAGACTGAGCGCGTTTTGGTCGTCTTGTAGAAGCAGTCTGATCCCAGCAGCGATCGGGGCTCTTTGTGATGCTGTGGGTTAGTGATGGCTGTGCCCAGCTGTGTGTCAGTGGAGGACGGTCCAGTGCTGTCTGAATGTTGGTAAAGCACTGCAATGAATGGTGAGATTGGTGCTTCCCAGAGAGCAGTGACGGAGCTCAGTGTTCCCAGTGGGGCTGTGCAGGGCATGGGCAGTGCCTTCCCCACATATTGAGGGTCCCTGGAACCAAAGCGTGGAGTTCTTTCAGCAATTTTCGTTAACCTGCGGTGTGACAGCCATTCTTCCTTGAACTGTCTTCAGAATAATGTTAACTATTGCCTGGCATACAGATGTGAGGCTGCCCCAATCCCCTGCATTTCTTTGCTGCTGTTGTAATGCAAACAGCGTTTCCCTAGTTGGAAGAGTGACCCTTGTGGGGCTGAAATGTGTGGGATTTACACCCAGCCCTTCTCTGGAGTAGAATGCACACCATGCCCTTGGAGGAAGGATTTCTAACAAATACATAGCTTTTCTGTCTGTTTCAAGGGGTAGGGGCTGGGGGGGCTGTGAGGGGCTCTCCCTGTTGTCACCCCTTTGTTCGGTGATGGCTGCACAGGCAGACGCGGGCTCTGAGCCCCTCACAGGCTGTTTGTTGTTGCCTGGAGCATAGCTTGTAAGCAAAGCCGCAATTTTCCGCGGCTTGCTCACACATCAGACTGTCATTTGGAAAAAAACCCAGCAGTGGGATTGGGGTCAGCCTAGGGGGTGGGTTTGCCGCTATGCTGAGTGTGCCATGCAGAAAAGCAGTATACAAGCAGCTACTTGTGCTCCAGAGATATCGCTGCTGGGAGGTGATGCTCCTCTGGGCACAGTTCTGGGATGTGGCTACGGGCAGAGTTCTGGGATGTGGCTTCACATTCCAGCCGTGTGGTTTGCACAGCAGACCCCCTTGCAGGAGGCTGGAGAAGTAAGCAGTGACACAGAGCTGTTCCCTGGGGCTGGGTGCTGCCAGAGCACTGCTGAGACAATGGGGCTGCAAATGTGAATTCTGTTGTTCCTCTGCTTTTTGGTTTGGGTTTAGCTCCAAAGCGAGAGTTTTCCTGGTCTCTGGGAGTCTTCCAGGGCTTCCTCTTTCAGACCCTAATTCTTTAGGAGCAGAACGTGGAAGCTAGCTGAACCCAAGCTGTGAATACTGAAATCTCAAAACTGACTGAACAGCCATCACGGGGGAAGTACAGAGCCCTGGTGCTGTGGCCATGTGTGGCTCTGGTGGCAGCAGTGGGGCACATACGTGTTCCAGAGCCACCACCCCACGTGAGCATGCATCCAGGGCAGCGCTTGTGGGCTGCAGTGCCAGCTGCATCTCCACTGGGACACAGCATGGCTGGAGGGAGCACCAGGGGTGTCTCAGGGGAAGGAGACAAGATTCCATACCCCTGTGCTCTGTCCCACAGCCCGGCTGTACCGTTGTGTGCTGTGGGGAGGGGGCAGTCCCCGTGCTGCTGTGATCTCGTGTCCATGCCTGATAAGGGGCTGCTGGCAAGCAGAGATAAGTTCTCCCTCAGCTCTGGTTCTGCCTTCCCTCAATCATCCTGCTCCATCTTTTGTTTTCTGTGACGGCCATAGCAGTATGTTGTCTGTGGGGCAGGACAGGTGCTTTCAAGGCTCTTCCTCCCGTCGGAGAGCATTCAGATAATTGTCACCCTTCTGTAACTGCATCAGTAATTGTGCCATTTAACGGCGCTTTGCAGAGAGCGTGTAGGGAAAACTGAGCTGTGATGGTTTCTGTTCTTGTTTTAATCTTTCTGGGCACGTTTTTAAGAAAAAATCTCTGAGGGGATTTTGGAAAAATACCAGGAGTCAAATAGATTAACAACATAAATGAACTTGCAGCCGATTGAGGATATTCCTGTACTGTGTCCCGATGTGGCAGCGGTGCTGGTTTTGTTTAAAACCACAATTGCAGGCAGCCTGCATGTAATTGCAGGCTGGCAGAGAAGAGCTGACGAGCACCGCCACCGTCCCCGCCATCTCCATGCAATCATCTGCCTTTGAGTCGTGAGCAAAGCAGTCACCAAAGTGTTCCATTTTCTCGTTTTGCCCCATCTATTATAATGGTTAGCTATTCATCACTGATGTTATATGTCCTGGCAAGCCCTGCCGATGGTGGCTCGTGCGCGCCTTTCAGAGCCAGCCAGGCACAAACCACTCGGTGACAGCATGTGACACGCGAGCAGAGCGAGCTGCTGTTTGTGTGAGGCAGCGTCGTGTTCATTTCCAAGGCACGTCGAGAAGATAATGGGGAATGCTGGAATTCATTAGTCTGCGCTCTGTGAAATTACTCTGATTTTACTTGGAATGAGAAAGAAGAGAAAACCCTGCCTTTTCCAATAAGTGCATTTCTTGCTGTTTGCTTTGTTTCGTACCTTGAAAGCACTTCCTTCGGCATAGAAACCCCGAGGTAAACGCGCTGCTCAGGGCTGAACAGCTCCAGTCATCTGACTCCCGGTAACGTTTTCCATTTATGCAGGGCATCCTAGATATTTTAATCAACTTTCAACTGGATTGGACATGGTTGGGTTGGCAGCAGACTGGCTGACATCAGCAGCAAACACTAATATGTGAGTAGAAGAAATTTTTTGTGATATTTAATATAATTTTATGGCTGTATTGTACAGTATTAGCTGCTGTAGCTGAATGAAAGAAAGAAAATTTTTATGTTAAGGTTGCTAGAAAAACAATTGTCTGCTTTTAAATGGTTTCTACATTTACCAGCACAAAGATTTTCCACAACATTCTATAGGCTCTGAAATCTGATCATAGAGATACGATGTCAGAGCTTTCCTTTGCTAACCTCCCCAGAATTGTACAGAAAAAATATTTTAGTGTTTTGCATGTATAAATATGTAAAATGAAAGCTTTGCTAAGAGAACAATTGCATTTAAGTATAGGAATTAGTACAACTCATACACCAAGCAGTTGGAACCATTGCTTCCTCTAAGAAAGAGGTGCAGAAATTAGAACATTTTTTGTAATTTTTTGCACTTTGGAGCTAGGAAGCATTTTTGTGCACTCGTTTAACTCCATGCACTGTCTTGTCGTCATGAACGGGGCTGTTGATGTGTGTGCATCAAGACATGCACGCAGGCTTTGACAAGGCAAAGGAGGTCTGATTCGGGCCAGCAGCTCTTGAATTCAGGGCAGAGCCTCGAGCCTGGAGGAGGTGGGCATGAGCAGTTTCACTGAAGTGGGTGGAAACGGAGTTTCCAGAGCTGTGGGCATTTCTGCTTTCAAACGTCTGACATCAAGTCAGAAGGGAGATTATCAAAAGTATTGTAAACAGAACTCTATTCAATATGAGAGAGAGTATATTGAGACTATCATGTAGTGCAGTATTGGAAAAAGATGTGTTAGTGTTGAAAATGAAAGCATTAAATGTGAGCATTACTGCATTTCAGGTTCACCTATGAAATTGCTCCAGTGTTTGTACTTTTGGAATATGTCACGCTACGGAAAATGAGAGAGATGGTTGGCTGGCCAGGGGGCTGTGGCGATGGGATATTTTCACCTGGTACATGATATTTCAAGCTTGCTTTTTGGACTATGCTATGTGACATCCCCTGTAGTTAAAGAGTAAACATAATTAAATATGCATGTTCACGAGGACGCTTGCTAATAACCACTGGTGGCCTCTTTGAGATAAAGCATTGCATGTTTTTGAATTTCAGGGATGAGATTAAGAGGGTCTGTTTGAGCAAATTGCACTGCGTTATGAGCAGCTGTAATGGCACATGGGAAACATAATCAGAAGAAACATTGGCCTTGCCCCCACTTTTTGTAGAGTACGTGAAACAGAAAGAGCGTTGTATTAATACAGCGATAAGAAATGTTGCCCATCACCAAAGGGGGAGTTGGAGTGAGAAGGGAAAAATAGGACATCCCGTGAAGCAAATTCAGCGGTTAGTTAGGGTCCCACCAACAGTGCAGTAAGCAGTTAGCTTTCCTGTGTGAGCTGGCTGTGGTGCTCAGTGGGGACCTCAGAGGGCTCCTTCCTCTGAGTGCCTGGAGGCTCAGACCTGTTTCCATCTGGGCACATCGGTAAGGCAAAAATGCCTGTGCTGCCTGTGGAGAAGTCACTGACACTGAGACACTGCATTGTTAAGGCTTTCGTTTTATTCATTCCACTTAGTCTTTTGATTTACAGTTTTTTGTCACCAAAACTAAAAATTTTAGCCCATCAATCTCCCCAAATTGCAAAAGTTGGGAAGAATTTACATTGGGCACAGCATCTTGGTGAGTCAAAAGAGAACAGACTGATAGTTGGGGTAGGAGCTCTTCTGGAAAGAAAGCTCGGAGACCTAATGGAGGGGAAAAGTGCATTTGGACTACCAAGCAGAGGAAAGACCTTGCAGATAACAGCCTGGGCTTCTGGGTCTCCAAGTGCAAAAGTTCCAGCAGGGCTCATCAGCAGCTGACTGCTGGCATCCAGCTGCCCACGTGGGAGCTGCTGCAGGAGTTTGGGGTTGGTCCTTTCTGCTGAGGTGGAGGAAGAGATGAGTTTACATTACTTTTTGTTGAGAACTTCTTGTTCTTGTACGCTGCTTATGCAGAACACAGAGGCCTGACAAGGGTCTTCAGATTTTGTTGGTGTGTTTTGTTGTCTGCAATTAATGGTGAGTGTAAATAGAGCTATAAAATTAAAGATAGAATGCAGGCTTATTGTTCATAAGTTTTTAGGGTTAAAAGACTAGATAAAAAATACTAGGAAAATCCAGCATTGAAGAAATTTAACATTTCAGTCTTGATTCTTTTGATGCTGAGCCCACTGACTTTGGACAAGATAGGTCAAATTTCTTCCACCTGGACACGTTAGTTCACCTAAATCATCAACAGTAGCTGCTGCATGATGTTTGCTTATTTTAGGGATGGGAACCTGAATATTTTCCCTTAACCTCTCTCCGTGTCATGTTATCATATTTGTTAAAGGAGGTATAGAAGCATGCTCATACCTCCCAAGGTGCTGTAAGGGGAGGAGGAAGCAGCCCCCAACCACTCTGAGCCCTGTGCCCCCAGTGCCGTTCCCCTGTGACAGGGTCACCCGGTGTCACACCGGGGCTGAGGACAGGAAGAGCCTACAGCAGGGACACTGGGTAGAAGAGAAGGGCAACACCCTGGGCATGTTACAGCAATTCCCAGTTCTTCAGTGGAGAGAATGGATGTGTGTGTGCATGGTGCACGTCATCCCAGCCGCCATAGCCCAGCTACCTTTGGGATGAGCTGAGCCATCCCCTGGCAGTGCTTGCTTGTGCTCCTCCATCCTTAGGTGGATGAAAGTTAGGAAGCAATTAGATCTGTTCATTTAAAAACCTAAAACCATGATCAGTATACGCCTTTTTGTTTTATAAATATATGTGCATAAACATAATTATACAATCGTCTGTGTTTGTGTGTATATGGGTATACTGTATATACAGGATAAAGCTATTGGGTTTTGTATGTACATGTGTGGTTGTGTGTGTACACATGTGAAAGTGCTCAGACTGCCTCAGGTGCTCCATTATATTCCCATAGTGCTCATGCAGTGTTAATGTGCAGCCAGATACAGTTTGGCTGTAGACGCAGACTCAGTAACAGTCTTGGAAACACAAAATAAAGAGCATGTTTGTAATTTGTGCATTGATAATTGAAATACAGGAATGAAATACTGTAGACCTGTCATCTGATGCTTACATGGGTATTTTAAAGCAGTGTACATCGGTGATTTTAACAGTAGTGCTAGGGTAAGGTAACCTTTTCCCCTCATTCCCACTGGAAAGACAGATAAAAGAAAAGTATTTATTAGAATGACCCTTTTTCCTTTCTCCTCCCTCTCCCACTCCCGCTATCCAGAAGGTAGTGTCTGTTGGTACACAGTGTAGGTTTCCGCAGAGCCAGGGTGTGAAGCATCACCCTGCTTCAGGAAGGAGAGCACAGGTCAGGTCGTGCTCAGAAGCCACTCACAAAGTCGCCTTGTTGACATGCATGGCATGGAGTGGGCGTAATGTATAGATGGCACATAGATAAAACTGGGGACTAGAGGAAAAATGGTGCCAAAAAAAGAAGATAAAAGGAAACCTCAATCATTTTTTTTGCACTAGTGTTTTATGCATAAATTGTTCTCTGTGTGTAGCAGACCTGTTATTGTACAGCCCAGCTCTGAGGAGTATCAGGAGAAAGAATGCACGTTTCTGACACGGGACAGAAATGTTAACAGGAGAGTTAGAAAAACCATAGCAAAACTTGTCGTTTATACTGCAATGATATTACACTGCATAGAAAAAGTAACAGTGTATTACTGTGGACTCCAGGTGGTGCCATATCTAACATGTATGCTATGTTGATTGCACGTTTCAAGATGTTCCCAGAAGTTAAAGAAAAAGGAATGGCAGCTATTCCCAGGCTGGTTGCCTTCACATCTGAACACGTATGTGTTTCTGTTTTTTCCTATCTGATACATCTGCTTGTATGAATTCCTGATGAGGAAAGTAGCTAAACAAGAATTGGCAGCCAGATGCCTTCATTTCTGTTATTCCTTCACTGGTAATGAAGAACTGGGAGGGGGCTGGCTTTTTGCTCTGTGGAGGGATGAGCTGTGTACTCCTGTGTGGCTCAGACCCAGGGAGGGCAGGCTCCACAAACGCTGCCCTTTTGGTTCCTCTGCCTCGCGTCTGTAGATGCGGTATGGATGGTAGAGCCCACATCAAATAGCAAGAGCACAGCGCTGGGCTTCTGTGTGCCCTGTGTCCTGGGGAACAGATCCCTGTGAATCAGAGTACTTCTAGCTGGAACCACTCCTGCTGTCGTGTAGTAAGGGTAATAACACACATGAAGACAGCAGCACTGAAGTGCAGTGTCCAGCCAGGCGTGCCGCGGGGCACTGGGTTCACTGTGGGTCTCCCTCTTGAGCACAGCCCTCAGCACAGCAGGGGTCATCCAGGTGCCAACAGGAGCTGGCTGTGCACTGAGTGGGGAATGCTGAGAGGATAGGGGATGGGCACGAGGAGCTTGAGTGGTCCGTGCTGGGGAAATGCAGCTTTTTGCTTTACGGACAGCCATGCAGAAGTTGTGTTTCTTCGTGACTGTGGGGGTTATTTGGGACTTAGGACCATTTCAAGCTCCTTGCAGCTTTTAGTGGTGCAGGGGGAAGGGGAAAATAAGTTGTATTCTGAGGAGCTGTGAGCTGTTTTCAGGCTTCATGGTCACCTTTTAAATTTCTCTCCAGCTAGGTGGACTCATCCAGAAAGAACTCTGGTGGCTGAGTTCAGCAGGCTGCCATCTCTTCTGCTTCACATCTTCCTGGCTGCCTTTTTGACTTAGGAAGCATGTGCTGCTTCATACAAGTGTGAAGAGCTCAGTGTCCTAACAGCTGATCAGAAATGCTGGGAGGCATTCTTTTTATGGATGGGGTGCAATGCAGAACTGCGGGCTCCAGTTTGCAGAATAATTGTCCCCAAAGCAATTGGACAAAAATATTCTGTAAATGCTTTGCAGCTCTCCAAAGTTAGTTTCACAGCTAGAGATCCATTATTCATATGGAAGTTACAAACCTAATAAGTACTGCAAATAAAGTTCAGTGTGATTATTTAAAATAACAAATCTTATTAATCGTTAGAGAATTTCATTGTATTCATAGCAATGGGATGTTAAACAGTGAACCAAATTGTGCTATCAGTCTCAAAATAATGAAATGAGCTTTAATAATTGTGTTTTCATGCCCAGGAAGAAGCATCTCCCTTAGCAAATTAAACATTCCAAAGTCAAATACACAGTGAATCCCCAGAATAGCATTTTAAATTTTACATTTAAAAAGTATCCTGAAATTGCAATTATGTCCTTCCCTCAAGCAATGTATGTGGTAACTGGTCTTGGAGGGAAGCTGAGAAACCCCACTAGGTGAAGATAGGGTCCTTTAACCCTTAATTGCCCAGCAAACAGGGATTAGGCTTTAACCTTCAGAACAGCAGAGAGTTGCAGAGATCCGGAAGCACAGTCCCTTTTTAGTTAGGAAATGTCATGCAGAACTTGAACAGGCAGGAAGATACAAAGATGGCATTTGTCTCATTTATCATGTCACACTGATCTTCTGCTCCCTTTCAGACTCCCCAGTCTGACTCTTGTTTCTCCCTGTCACAGCTGCATGCTGTTTTACAACAATGGCTGTGGAACAAGCAGGCTGTAAATGAAATGCTGTCACTTCCCCACACTGTACATGTAGTATAATAATAAACAAAGCTGTAAGTCACTGGATTTTATTAGAAACTTTGAGATTTTTTTTCTTGAGATTTTCAGTTGGAAGCAAAGTTTCCGGTATTAGTAATTCTCTGTCAAGAATATCAGTATCACAGACCAGACTCTATTTTCATTTCTACCAATCTAGAGCTTCTGCTACTGTGAGTGAAGTTACTCCACAATTGCCACTGATATTGCTCTGATCAGGGTTTGGTCATGATAGGTTTAGCTGCCATAGGGGAGAAGGGAAGGGAGGAGTATTTCACAGCTCCTCAGTAATTCCCTTCCTAATTTAGGAATGCATTATGTGCCTAAATTGAGAGCTTCGCTTCGTGTACGATCAGTGAGAAGAAGCATCTCTGGAGTGAAACTCAGAGCATCAAAATTAGGAACTTAAATGTTCCTTAATTTAGATATTTTATATCACCTTCGGGAGAGGTTCATCTACTTCATCTAACCACAGAGAGACAACAGCCTCCTGGCACATACAGCCTACATTCAGCCTAAAGTAGGTTATGTGATTGTTCCAGCCCTGCTCATGCGTGTTCATCAGGTCTTCCCCAAGTTCAGTAGGGCTGTGACATCTCTGTCTTTGCTTCTGATCACTTCTGTTTCACCAGTGACACTGAGGCACATTATAACTGAATGGGTCAGGCTTGACTCACGCATAATTTCACTGAGGCACTCTTGCATTCAGGTCTTAATTTAGTCCTCTGTAGTCACCAGTTCATCATCAGTCATTCCTGAACATGCAGTGGTGCAGGAGCAGTGCGATGTCCTTCAAGGCATCTGTTCTGGACTGCTCGTGACGCAGGAGACCTTGATTCAGATGGGTAAAAGTGATAGATGCCAGTTATAGAAATCTATTTTAATCTTTTGTTTTGCACAAATGAAAAATTTCAGATGAAGGCTTCCTCCTACATCCCTGTGCATTGGCTTTAGGCTGGAAAGACTGTTCAACTGAGTGCATCCCTTTTTCAGTGCAGAGAAAGCACCTGAAAAGGAAAGCTGCCTTCTTTAAATATTTTAATTGATCCTTCTGTCTGTAAGGCAAGTGCTGTTGTGTTTTAACCCATTCCCTGATGTGACTTTGGCCATTCCACCTGGCATTCTCTTACCAGGGAGCAGGGATCATCCCCAGAAGGTAAAAATAATGAAGAGCCATAGTCTGAGAGGGAAAGAGGTGCGGAGGGAAAGAGTTTAGGCGCAGATAACAAGCTAGGTTCAACAGAACAGTATTTGGCCTTTTTGTTTTATCATGTATAAATAGCTTGAAAGAATCACAGCGTTTCCATTGAGGACTGGATGGGTTCAGAATCACAGCTTTTCCATTGAGGACTGGATGGGTTCAGTCCTCAATTCAGAGAATGATAAAAAGTTGTACATAATTGGAAAGACGCAGTGATTTCTTCATCTCGTGTGTTCTCCAGATCAACAGGACTGCTTGTGTAGTCCTCATCAGCTTTCCTCATTGCCCACCCACAGCAGCCTACTAAGGAGGAACTTCTTGGCAGGTGCTCACAGGGGAGTGACAGCACAGCTCATGTTGTAGTTTGAGAGAGGAAATAATAGAAGACCCAGCAAGCCAATCAGTTTGCTCGATGTGAAGGGAACCTCTTCACCCTGTCAGAAAGCCAGCAGGGCATGGCAGTCTCTCACTGCCTCCAGCATCCCCCACCTCTTGGTTTTTGGGGTGAGGAGGCTCCTGCCTGGGGCTGCCTCTGAAGGGAGTCGGGGGATCCACTGGCCAGATAAGGTAAGTGTAAGGTATCAGCCTTGGGGATGGCCAGATGTACCTGGAGGGACATCTAGCAAGGAGTGGCTTTGTGGTAAGGCTTTCAGGGAAAGGTAGAGAAGCCAGGAGGGCCTGTTCTCCATTTGGTGGCATCAAAATCTGAAGCTTCAGAGTGAGTTTCTTCCTGAGGAAACTAAAATTCGAACTCATGGATCCAGACATTCTTCCTTTGCAGTGCGTAATGCTCAGTAACCATAAAAGCTTTGCTTTGGGGAATTCAAAGCCAGAGGGAGACGGTGGAAAAGTTGGTATTACAGGAAGAGCACCTTAATTTAAGTTGAATTTTCCTTTCAAATGAAAGTAAAATCACCTTGCAGAAGAGCAATGTAAAGAGCAGCCTCTTCCAGGGAAGACATTTGACATTAGGTCTAATCCTTCTTCTGGTCAGTATCTTGGGACTTCTGCATTGCCACAGAATCCTTGTGAGCTCAGAGCAGCACTTCTCATCCTCAGACAATACTATAAAACTGTCAGCACAGGAAAAGAAAAAAGGTTGTGAGTCTTAGAATCATAGGATCACTCAGGTTGGAAAAGACCTTAAAGATCATCGAGTCCAACCACAACCTAATCATACTACCCTAATTCTAACAACCTTCCACTAAATCATGTCCCTGAGCACCACATCCAAACACTATTACATCTTTCAAAAATGCTGAAGATCAGGATATGAGTATGCTATGCAGAAACATTAATAATGTTAATTTCTTTCCTGCCATTGACAAATAAGTTAAAAATGGAGTAGCAGTAGCTGAAGTAAACAATAGCAAACATCTGTTGTTATGGTGTATTTAAAATGTGATGGGGCACAGTATAATTTTTTGTAAATAACTGAAGGAAAAGCTATAGCTTACGATTGGACTTTAGAGATAGGATTCATGCTGCTTCATTTTAATCACCAAAAGTGTAAACAGATATTCTGAGTTAGTCTGTGCACTTTTTATAGCCAATCAAAAGAGAAATCTGCAGAAGACAGTTCATCCTTCTGTAAAATGGGTGCCCAAGGCTTGGGGATGCAGCAGATGTACTCTTTTCTTCCCCACTGTTGAGGAAGCCCAGGCAGTTACCAGGCACACGTTCTGAGATGGTTAAAATAAAGAGGGATCTCACATTGTTTCATGTCCAAGGGAGGTGAAGAGGAAAACATGTTTGCCTGCTCTGCTGGTGGGGTGAGGCTGAGCGTCCAGGTCTGCAGAGCACCAGAGTGCAGCAACCCAACCTGCAGCCTTCAGGGAGGTACTGGCTGCTGGTGGCTCGGCTTGCTCAGCGTCTGGGAGTTCACGTCACTCTGAATTTATGTGAGCAGGGAGAAGCTGCAGTCTGAAAAACCAGCTGTGGCCTCTGGGCCCATGGCACGAGGATGGCTCTTCTGACAGCTTCAGCCATGCCAGGTGATGAGCGAATAATTTAGCAAGCTGTAAAAATAGAAGCATCTGCACGCTAAAGCACCATTCATTCAAGGCAAGAAAGGCATGCTTTTCAAAATCAAAGCATTTTGAGCAGCACCAAATTTTCCAACAGGCTTATTGCATTACTGCACCTGTAATAAATTTGAGTGTGTTTTGATGTTACAATGCTCACTATGAAAAAATGACTATTGGGCTTGTTCCCTACAACAGTTGACATTTCAGACAGAGGGATGATTTACCTGGCTCAGTCACCTCTTCTTTTTCTTTTTTTTCTTTTTTTCTTTTTTTCTGACCATTAATACACTTTTGTCATTAAGGTTGAGTAAAACCTCCTCCTCATTCACCACTGAATTTCAGCTGTATTTCTTCCCAGGCAGAAATTGAAGTTCTCTTCTGAGTGTGTGTGCGTGGTCTTCCAGGTGCGTGCAGAGGAAGGTGTTGGGGTGTGTGACAGCCTGCACACACTCACATGTCCTTCTGTCTGGCAAGCAGAAGACAGAGATGGAACTGCAGTCCTGCCGACTTCTCCCAGCCTGGTTTTTGATTCAGGGCTGGCATAAGGCAGACTGTCCTGTCCTCCCCTTTTGACCCTCATTCTCCCACCACAGGATTTCAACTGGCTCCTACACAGCCAGCGTGATACACTACGGGCTGCAGCCCCCACATTCTACAAAGGGTTACTTTTTTAGATTTGATATCCTTCTCACTGTTAGCCCAGCCAAATCCATCAGCAGTTCTGTTTAACCAGGGCTGTTTCTGCATATCTAGCCTTCTCTTAGATCTGTACATTCTTCTACATATGCCTGTAGTTATGCAGACAGCCATTTGCCAGTATTGTCCCAGAAATTCTAAAACAGAGTTTAATAATCATCATCATTAGAAATGTTTTTTTTGCTCCTACAACTGTATTTTTTGCATGATTAATTTCATTCTGGCTCTTTTAGAGCCATTCAGGTGGTTGTGATTCCGCTGATGTTTCCGTGAGACACAAAAATGTAACAGCAATCTATATGTCTGCGCCTGCGTACACAGATTGAGCAATTTCATATTCAAAGTTTGCTTAGAAATTGTATTACCTTCTGTATTTTCTTCTTCCTCCTATTTTGGTTCCTAACTGCTGAATTCCCTTCAGCATGTAAAAAGCCTTCAGGCATCTGAGATATCAGCAGTATATTCATTTTATTCCCAGCGCTGTGTTAACAGTGCCATGAGACTTCTCAATGAGGCAGCTGAGCTTGGCTTTTTTCCAGTGGATGCCTTTGAGCACATGGGCTTAATTTTCTTCCTCGTAGTAAACTGTTCCAATCTGTATTTCCTTTTAAAGGCACTTGGGATAGTTCTATTTTCTATTAGAAAAAAGGGAAATGACAGTAGTAAATCTGTTTTAAGTAGTATGGAATATAGAGCAACCTTAAGCAGAGTAGTCGGGACTATTAATGAAAATTACCCCTTAGTTGTTTTTAAAGCACAGTTGTTTTTTTGCATATTAAGTTCAAGGCACGTATTACAGTTCAACTCTTCTCCCTCTCTGTCTTAAAGCTGGTGTACATTTGACATTCATTTCTCCCAAAGGGCTCATTGTTATATGGGGCTGTTAAGTGCTCTGTGCAGTCCCAATGACTTGAAGGTCTGTAGGTGATGCTTACACATAACCATCACATTCAGCTCTTTCCATACATCACTCTGATGATTGCAGTACTGTTGAAGCCAAGTATTCAGTTGATACAGCAGTGGTGATTACTCCTTTGCGTTCTGGTATGCTTCTTCACTCCTGCACTGGCAGGAGGATGGGCTGTCTTCCTTTCTTTAACTTCTTGGGCACCTAAAAAGCCTTACTAGATTTTTTCATTGATCTCCTGAGCTAACCCTGCTGTGTTGTACACAAAGAATTTGTTTGGACAGTACTGCTACAGTTGGATTTCATTTAATAAAAAATCTGATTCTTAGTGATAAAATCTGATATAAAACTATTTCATGATCTTAATCATTAGGATTTGAATTAGAATTATGAACTAATAGGAGTTAACGTGAGGAAGAGAAAATTAGGCTGACTTGCTTCCTACTATATAACTTCCATGTTTTACCATACAGATTAGGTAATAGATTTAGCAATATAATAGCCCAGACCTGATCTTAAACTACAGTAGCTAAGTCTATTAATGGGAGTTGTAACTAGCTAACTAACTTTCACTGGCATGAGATCACAATTAGGCTCTCTCTCTCAATTTCTCTCAGTCTGTTATTTGGCCAGAAGTTACACAGCAGAAGCACATCACTCTTGGTGCCACAAACTAGATGAATTATCTGGAGAAGTTGTTGTTTTGGTGAATCAAATTTGCTGCTCAGTATGTATGAGCAAAAGGTGGTGCAGGTGTGCATCTAGGACAGAATTTGGGTCCCTCACCAGCCACAACTGTGCATTTAATATTCCAGAAGTAAATCCAGTGATTGCTGTTGCTCTAATAAGCTGTAGTGACCTGATACGAAGCCTGAAATTACAGTGATCAGTTTTCAAAGTCTATGACTAGAATTATTGCCTATACGGAACATCTTGCGGAAGGGCTTGCAGGAGCGTAGTGTTTCATTAAGTTGGATAGGAAATAGTAATAAAAACAATAAATAATAACAAAACTTGTTTTTTTCAGAGTCACTTTTCTGTGAAAAAAGGAGCTGCAGCCTTGGGTATTGGTACAGATAGTGTGATTCTGATTAGATGCGATGAAAGGTAAGTAAAGATGCCAAATGCTATTCCTTCTGTTGGTACATAGAAGAGCATCACCAGGTGCTTAACATGGAGAGAGCATGTAGGATATAGTCAACAGTATGACACTATATAGAGCTATCATCTTCAGTCAGCCTTGCAGTGATTTATCCCACTTGAGGGACTGTAGTTGTAGTTTCTTAATGAATCATTTTTTGGAGCTGATAAAAAATCTTGAAGTTCTCTTCCTCAAGGATTTTTCATATTTCTTTTTCATCTCTTCCTGAAGTGAAACAAAAAGTTGAACTAACAATCTTTACATATATTTGCACATTCCGGTGAGAAACCACAAAGGGGCTTTCTTAGGAAAGATGCTCTTGCATTTTGGTTCACTGAAATTAGCTGAAATGAGCATTTTAAAGGAGTGAAATATTGAGGAGCATTTGCTAATGTAATTGTATTACTTTGTGACCCCACCGTCCTTTTAGGCTGGATGGCATTTCCCAGTGGGAAGCTGCCCCTTGCAGTGGGATGTGCAGTCAGTTCTGTGAAGGGTATTTCCAGAACCATAGGCAGCATGGCTCAACAAGGGGATGACCCATGGAAAGGAGTAGCACAGCAGGCTGCGTGCAGTTCTTTAGACGCCACAAAACTGGTAGTAGATGAAGTCTTAACTCACCCAACTAAAAGGTTACCAAAACCCATTTTGTGAAAGCAAAGAAACATTAACAAAATGAACTTGATTTGATGAAGATTTGCAATTTACTAGGAAAGTGCACATCCTCTGAGACAAATGTAAAATAAAAAATCCTCATCCATTCTATTGAGAAGCTTTTCAGTAAAATATTATCTTGCAGTCAGTCCAAATATCATTGTTATAAGGTATTGAAGTGTTTATGACTCCAGCTTAAATGGAAAGTTTTCCTGCAATGAAAATTTTTTGCAACCTCTATAATAGTTGAACGCCAAATTAAGCAACTTACAGTGCCAATCACAATGCCTCAATGCAGGTTGATCTGTGGGCTTAGTATCTCTTTATTGACAAAAAACTGAACAAAGCTTAGCGAGGAATTAATGACAACATCCAACATGCATCAGAATAAACCTGATTGTTTCTACTCACTACAGACAGACTTGCGTCAGTGATGTCATGGTTTCCTTTTCTTCTTGCGCAAATTCAACTTGATGTTTTTTTTTCTGTGAAGACCACTTATCCACTTATCCAGCCCACCCTGAAATACACAATGAGATTACTGCAATTCTCAGCAAATCCCAGTAGATGCTGCTGGCACAGAACAAGCTGTTGGTGCTTGACATGGGTTAGTGAAGATGTAGACTTGTAGGAGCGTGAAGGAGCACCATAAGATCTTTTCAACATCTTCAGCGTAACCAAGCATCCTTCTTGGCAGCTTCTTTCCTCCCCACCCTGATCCACTTTCCAGCAAGTCTGTCTGGTTTTGCTGTTTCATGGGACTGTGTAAATGTGTGGTGTTTTTTTTTTTTTTCAAAAGTAAATCTAAAAATCATAGTTTTGTTTTCCTCAAAGTGCTATTTTGAGCTTTAGTAGAAGTCATTCTTTTTTTTAATAACAAGAAGAAATACAAATTATCCCTGTACTGAAAGGAAAGAGATGTCTGTCTATACTAAGAACTAGGAAGTCCTTCAAAGTATATATGTATGTAATTATATAAATATAAATGTAAATGGACAACACTTAGACCCACTGATGAATTTACTCCTATAATGTGGGGAGCTGTCATATTTGTGTTACCATTATGTATATTCTCTCTTAGCCAGTCTTGCTTGTGCCTGAAGCAAAGAAATGCAACCTCAGTGTTCAGTATCAGCTCTGTTTTACCTTGCATCTAATTCATTTACGGGATTTTATAAATTGGCCTTCAAGCCTGTTACCACTGAGTCTGAATCCCAGGCAAATGGTTCGTTTTAAATGTGTTGCAAATACGGCACGGAGCCAATGCAGTGCTTGGCAGTGCATCCAAGTCTGGACTGGTTGCTTCGTCTCACATCTTGCTTCAAGCAAACGTACATGTAATGCACCAGTAACTCTGAGCAGTCACCCTGAAATGAGCCCGTCCCTGGGACCAGAACATGGAGAGTGCTGCTTACACTGAAGCTGTCACAGACCTGGGGCCGTGCAGCTCAGCCAGCATTTTTTGTGTCTGCTAAGAGGGGTTTGGCACCCAGGGAGCATCTTGGGAGCCTGGGCTGAGCCCCTTGCTTGGGAGCAGGAGCAGTTCCCAGAGCTGCAACCTCCAACGGGACGGGGGGCTCCGGGGAGCTGCCTCAGTCTTTAACGGGAGGCGACTGTGAGTGTCTTGTTGCCATCACCATGTTGATGCAGATCACTTGAAAAAGTAAGCAGACTGAAAATGTAGGCTAACGGACAGAGTCTATCTGCCTCATAAGCTGCGGGCAAAAATGTTGCTTTGTTCCTTTTTGGGTTTAGCCTTAAGTGAAGAAGTAACAGCAAAAGATGATTTCAAGACCAAATTTCTAATATAACTCTCTTTTTCCCAGAGGGAAAATGATTCCATCAGACCTTGAAAGAAGAATTCTTGAGGCCAAACAAAAAGTAAGTTACTATTAAGCTTACCCGCATTTCTGCTTCCCCCAGCAAAACAAAAACAAAAGTGAAGAAACACCATACGGATACAGCCAGTTGGTTTGGCAGTAAAGCTCCGCCCAGATCTCCTGACGCTGCATTTCCTTTTGCAAAATGAAGTTCAGACACTTCTGATTGTTTAAGCCCCAGTTCAGCAAATAAATATAGGCACCATTTACTGCTCTGAGTATTGTTTATGAAATCAACAGAAAATGAATTGAAAACAAAACACTGGTGCAAGTTTCTGCATACTCAAGGACTCGCAGCGCAAAATCCAGGTGACTGTGTGCTCCTCAGTGATGCACAGCATTTAGCAACAGGAGTCCAAGAGATGGTCCTTGGGCACCGAGGTGCCTTGCAGATAAGATTTGCTTTACACGACGTTACATTGAGCAGCTCCTTTTGTTTTGGCTAGGTGACAGGGAGCAGAACTGTTCCTTTGAGCCCTTGCCTGTCTCCTGCATCTTAAATAAATGGAGGAGGCTGGTTTGGAAGTTTGCTGCCACCTTAAGGTAGAAACTGTAATATCACTAGTATCTAAATTAACAAAAAACCCTGTGATACAGCAACTGTGTCCTCTAGGAGCCACTTGTGGGCTCGTTGTGCAGGCAGCCATCAGAGCAATGCCGGCTCCCAGGAGGAGTTGGGGCTGCTGCTGTGTGACTTTGCCAAATGCCTCTGTGCTTTCTTGTAGGGATTTGTTCCTTTTCTAGTGAGTGCCACAGCTGGAACAACAGTGTATGGGGCCTTTGACCCACTCATAGCTATTGCAGACATCTGCAAGAAGTACAAAATCTGGATGCACGTGGATGTAAGTATCAGCGTGGGAGGGAGGGTGAGGGAGGCAGATTCCAAGGCATGTAAGCATGAATGTTTTATTTTTTTTTACAAAACCATCATATTTGGTTTCTGTAATTAGGTCTGTTATCCAAGTGCTGACTTCCCAGTCCTCTGACAGGCTCGGGTCAAGAGGACGTAACAGGAGCTGTGACTGTGCAGTACTCACAGTAAATGGCATGCTTAAGATGGATGACCTATTTAGAGTGCTTTGGGCCTTCAGCTTCATCTTTAAATATCACTAGTCCAAAAATCCATAAGAACCATAATGTGCATTGGCTCCATTTCTGCAGCAGCTGCAAAATAAATACATAAGAAGAAGTCTACATTTTTTTCTGGAGTAAGCACCCCAAATTGCCCAGCAGATTAATCCAGATGCTAAAGAGATTTATTAGATTGGCTGTTTTGCTCAGTTTTATCTGGGTTCTTGCAAATAAATCTTTCTGAAGGATCATCTTTCAGCCCTGGAATGGATCTTATGTCATTTTTGCAAGATCTTTTTTTCCAAGAAAGCTTAGTAGTTGAATTTCCATAGGGCTGACTATCATGCTTTTGATTACTTTGTCAGCCCAAATCATTCCAATTTAAGAATTCATGTTTGCCTTCAACTACTGCTCAGCCACACAAAATGTCTATCTGTCCTAGATCTCTGTAAGCAAAAGCAAATGGGAGAAGGCAGGCAGGTCTGCTCACAGATGTCATTCTGGAGAAATGCAGAGGTGTCCTCTCATTAAGATAATGTATCTTGCCTTGTAGGGAGCGTGGGGTGGTGGGCTGCTGATGTCAAGGAAGCACAAATGGAAGCTAAATGGTGTTGAAAGGTATGATTTATTAGTGCTAATTAAGCACATTTATTAAATGCATTTTAGCACACTTGTGATTACCATAGCAGTATCTATAAACACAAATAAAAATCAGGCTCTGTTATCTCCAGGATACAGAGGGAAGGAATTCTGCAGCCTGCCCTTCCAGGTGAAGCGGCACTGCTCTGTGCCTTTGTTCAGTGTTACAGTGTGGTAGCACTGTGCTTCGTAATGCAAGCAGCAGACATTTCTTGTTTGTGTTTTTATTCATTCCAGCATGCATTCTGGGATTCAGAATGGTTTCTGCAGCATCCTTTGATTCCCTGTCCAAAATGAATTAGCACTTGTATTTCTCTGTCATGAATGTTGGAGGGTTTGCCTGCTGAGGTCTCAGTATAAGAAGTGGATGGGTGCATCTGCAGCTGGGACACTGTTAGGACAGTCACCAGCCACTGCTCCATCACTTCTGGAAGGAATGTCACCTCCCAGCTGTGCTAATGACGTCTAGATATACACATTTGCAGTCCTGAGCTCATCAACATTACATGTACACACAGCTGAACATAAATGATAGCAATGTAGCTTGGCTGTAGCTGAAAAGACTGCACTTAAACTCACAGAAACTTGCCCAGAAACTTTTAGTTGTGCTATGGATCTCCTTGCCATGGAATGTTAAGATTTACCTGAGTTCAAGGGAGGAAAAACAAAAACCATTCAGGACTTCAGGGAGCCACAAAGTGACATGAGGCTTGAGGAGTATTTCGAGGAAGTTCTCATATGCTTGCCCTGTTTTATATTCTTCCGGGCATCTATTTAGGCCACTTACTAGAGACAGTGTGCTGGGTACTTGGAGTCCTCTCACATTTGTATATTTTCCAAAACTGATTAAATCATACTTCCTCCTTCCTTTTTTATCTCTAAATCAAATTGCTGATTAAAATTACAGATGAATTCTTCAACCTATTCCTATTATCATGTATCTATCTCACATGCAAAATTTGGAAAGCAGACAATGGTTCTATGAATTTGATATACTTTAGTTAAGACTGCCTCCAGTACTCCAGATTTATATATTGTACTTTAAAAGGACATACATCCAAATACCCAATGCATTAAAAAAATCTGAACAGTTGTCTGCAAGGATAGAGATTGGAAAAAAAGTGTTTTCCACACAAACTGCTGTCAAAATTCTTTGGGAACTAGAAGTTCAGGTTGAACCCACATTGGAGAATTTTCCAAGCAGGATGCTTTAGGTCCAGAATTTCTCCAGGCTTGGTAAGCACCATCTCCATGTGCCAAGTGAGGAACTAACAAAGCTTGTCATTTCCAGTCCTGTTTCCCTGCACTTCAATTTGTCCAGATTTCAAATGTGGATGCTTCTAGAGGAGGCTTACCAGATCCAATTTCTATGGGCAGTTCCATTTCATGGTGCATTAAGGTCTGAATAGAACTGGGGCTGTTACGTGTGTTTCATGGGAGAGGAAGGAACAAGAAGGAACAAAATGTCCCTGTTAATTGCAGGAGAGTTGGACAAGATGACCTTTGAAGTTCCGTTTCAACTCAAAGAATTTTTTGATTGTAAAAAGGGACCACTGAATGAAGGACTCTTGCTCCAAGTATTCCCATCCTTCTGGTAACAGGCAGTCCAGAAAAAAACATCAAACACAGAGGAGCTGCAAAGCCATCCTTACCATCCCCTGTAGGCTCTGCATGGCACATTTTGAAGAGCACCTGAAGGAAGCATGTGTCTGGAGCAGATAGGTCTGACCACCATCAGGACATGCAGCCTGGTGCCCCACTCCCAGGGCCTGGACAGCGGTGAGAGCTATGTGAGAAGATCATGCCTGCAGCTGGATAAATGCTGTGCTCAGTCCGGGCATCCTTCCCAGAGCTGCGGCTGGCCAGTGAGAGCATCCTGGTCTGGTTTTAATGATGGCTGAGCCCCAAATTCTGCCAGTCCTGAATCTCTCATGTCATCTGTTTGGAATCTCCAAAGGAAGACTTTTCTGCTTTTTTTTCTCTCTATGAACCATAGTAAAAAAAATCACAAAGGTGCTTGGTGTGCAGTTATTTTGGGGAGCATGAGATGTTTTAGAAAAACATCTGTGGATCCACACAGCTTTCCTTTGCTGTTTCTTGCAGTCAGCAGTTTCTTCAAGCATATACTGACGGCTCAAGCCCAGAAAAACTGTTGAAAAACAAATGAAAATTATTTTGGATAATTATTATATTTTTCTGGATGCAGTTGGGATAAATCTGGGGAAATAAATGACCCTAGGGTAAATTGAATTTTTTAGACAGATAATTAACATCTGGCTGTTGTCAGTAAATAATCCTTCTAAGAAAACCTATACCACTACTGTTACCTACAGATCTCTTGAAGGATTTTTGCCTGATTCAGCACAGACACAGATAAAAATGAAAAAGTACCATATCAAAGGAAATTCATGGACCTGCATATTCAGAATCATTAGCTCTGATGTTGTAATCAGATGGCTGACTCTGAGCTGATTAAAAGCTGCCAACTATTCATGAAGCCAAGCCAAGTGGCCAGATGTTGCCTCTGGAAGACTATTACCTACAGTTTTTGCATCAAGCACTTACGAAGTCCCATTTAAACAGCAGAGAAGAAGGCACAGAAGTGTTGCACAATGTCCCTGTGCATTTTGGAGTTGCTTGCTTTGAAGAAGTGAGAGCAATTTGGTAGGAAATGATAAGGACAAGCATAAACCTATAACACTGTCTCCAAATCTATGAAGGAAAATACTGCCACATTCTCACATGCTCACTTCTGTTCACATAAACGTTACCTATAAGTGCATCCTGAGTCCTTTAAGTGCTTACATGGCCAGTTAACTCATTTATAGCAGTTTACACTGTCAAAACTCAAATCACTGCGCTACACAAAATCACGTGCTCTGTGCATCCTTGTCAGCTTGCCAAATAGGATGCAAATGTATACATTTATCAGCCAGTCATCATATGTAATAATAGTAATTAGCAAATAGAGAGTCAAGCATAACACAAAATTGAAACAGTAAACATTGTTACTGGATGGTCTGCCGTACAGCACTTGCCACAGTCCCAAATGGCTCTTCTCTGGTCTGTACTGTGACAGCACCCTGTTTCTTCACAAGACCTGGGCTGACTGCTGTTTTTGTAGAGCATATGTCCTGAGGGGAGTTGGGCTCAGGCTCCTCAGTAGGAAGCTGAATTATTTCTGTGTTTATCGCTGTGGTAATTTTGTACTTGATTCTCCAGTGTGAATTACCCAAACTGAAATGAAAGGAGCTGTGAAAATTACCAACACAATGATAAAAGTTACTTCTGGTCAGGTTTTCCAAACTAGTCAGAGACTTAGAGGTACCCAGAAATATGCAAAGGAATTTTCAAAAATACAAAAAATACCTGTGTGAATCAGTTACTAAAATCTTACTGATACTGAAATCAGTGGGAAGGAGTCTGCTATTTTACCAGCTCTTGTCTGCGTATTTGCTCTGAAGGCCTTCTGCTTTTAGAAAGTTCATCAGTCAAGTGAGTGTTCTTGAGAAGTTTAGCTTGTGTTTACAAAGGATAGATGACTCTCTGGAAGGATTAATACTAATCAGGTGTAGTGGATAGAGCAACTTATCATCCTGTGATAAGTTGCCAAAATGGCCATCCAAAAACAATCCAGAGCTAGGTCCCTGAGGAAGGCATTGCTTTCTTACTCTCAGCCGAGATTACTTTCAGCTTTGCTTCCTCAAACAAAAGAAGAAGGTGTGCTTTGCTCCTTGTTCATTATTATTCTGACCATTACTAAATGGTTTCACTGGTGGAACCATTCACTCTGGTTTCACTGCAGTGGAACAGTGTCTGAGCTTCACGTGGTTTTCTGTCACAGGGCCAACTCGGTGACCTGGAACCCTCACAAGATGATGGGAGTCCCACTGCAGTGTTCAGCCCTGCTAGTGAGGGAAGAGGTACGTCCCAAAATCCTTGCTGCTCTGGCCCTGTCTGACATTTTGCTTCTGACAGTCCTGGATGTTTTCTTCATACATGTGTCATAGCTAATAATTGGCTAATGTGATGAGGGTTATAAAAGAAACTGAGAAACAGCTCTACTCAAAGGCTGAGAGTTGCGAGTGTAAAAGGGAATTAAAGCAGCTGTCTACCAGAAAAGATAGATCTAATTAATGGCAGTACCTTTACAGTATTGTGGCTTTGCATTCAGAATGCCTGTAGTAAAGTTGTAAGTGCATAGCTGTGTAACCCTGCTGGTTTCTGTGTGGTGTAAAACATACCTGCAGGCAAAATCCCATCCTCTTAGGGTGAATGCTGTGGTATGAATGCAGTATGATATTTCATCCATAATTGGGGCTTCATTACACTTTCTAGACTTTTATGACAATTATTTCAATCCAGCTCTGATCCATATATCCACTTTGGGGCATATGGAAAATAAAAAGGGAGGACTAAGTTCACTTGGAAGAAGTAGTACTAGAACTTGAATTACCCTTCAAGCCTATAATTTTCATATAACCATCAGTTACTGGGACAGCTGCTATACAACCACTACTTAGTAGATCAGCTATCAAAAAGCTGGTTGCTGTTTTGCTAACAGCTGTACGACAGATTGTACACAAAGTGGCTGTGCTTAAGAAGAGAGAAGCTGGCTTTCATTTGCCCTCTGGGTCAGTCCTCTGAGACAAATCCCACCTGGTTGAAGTCAGTACCATCCTTGACCTCTGGTGAGAACAGATGGCTCAGATTAGAGAAAGCCAATTTCTCCACATCTCCCCCCACATTTTACTATCTCAGTTTTGAGTTATATGTAAAGCTTAGATTTAATGATAAACAGCAAAGTTTTGAGTCTTACTGGGCTGGAAATTGCACTTTCAGCAACCGCCACAAGGTTTATCTTAAACTTTGTTGAGGACTGCACTAGAACCAGAACATGACTTTCTGCATTTCACTTAAGAAGCTAAAAAGAAACCTTATGTTTTTGTGGGCCAGGTTCTACACCTTGTTGGCTGCTGGCCCTCCCACAGAGCTGGCTCTCTAAACAGTGTCTACCAGCCCAGAAACAGCTCTAGCTGGCTCTTTCAAGTCCATATGCTCTTTTTCAAGGCTTTCCTTGCCATTTAAGCATCCAATCTGAGCACTGCAGATTTCTGGGATAAGAACAACACCTCTAAAAAAATGAAAAAAGCAATGACAAGCAGAATTTTAGAGACCAAATCAATTATTAGAAAAGTGGTGTGAAAATCTTTATGTTAGTAATGAAATTGGCTTGATCTGAGTCAGCTAGGCATTTCCTTCAAGTGCCTTGCAAGGAAAGGAGGTAAAGGAACCACGACAAGGAGCAAAGAGTGAGATCCAAAAATGAGCTTAAGCATAATGATGCTGAGAATTATAGTGTCCAGAGTTCATTTAAAAAAACCCTTGGCTCCCTCTGGGAGTGGCTTACACATTGCTGCACCATGTCCTCGGCACTGAATGAGACGAGAAAGACTTAGGCCACTGAGCAACCAAGTTTGGTATCCCTTTTTTCTTTCAGTCTTTCTCTTGCCCTTGGACACATATTATGCTGAATTTGGGTGCTTGTATTTTCTGCTGTGCAGCCCCTTACCCAACACAACCCTCTAACAGTAGAGTGGCAGAATGACATTTATGTATCTCGGTTTCGATAAGGGACTGATGCAGAGCTGCAATCAGATGCATGCGTCCTACCTCTTTCAACAAGACAAGCACTACGACCTGTCTTACGACACTGGGGACAAGGCTTTGCAATGTGGGCGGCACGTTGATGTCTTCAAGCTTTGGCTGATGTGGAGGGCAAAGGTAGGACTTCCTGCAGTATTCTTGTTTGCAGTAAAATAATGCACACCAGATACCAGTTTCTCTTCTGCAATCATCATGCTAGAAAATACCTGACCTGAATTTTCCATATATAACATGAAAGAAAGAATATTATTGTTTTCTCTTTTTTATACTTTTAACAGTTTAGCTTCAAAGAAGAGCACGTGGTTTTGAAACTTGAACTCCATGGCTTTGCATAGCATTTGCTTTGTGTAACTGTAGGAGTCTAACAGCATAAATCATACATCTAAGAATGTTGCTATGTCCATTTCTGGAAGTAAAAAGATGTTTTATTTTAAAGACATTCAGAAACTAAGCATGGCAAATTGAGACTGGAATATGTAGTTTCGTTCTACAAATGAGATATGTAGATACCTTTTGGAGGAGTTGGAGAAAATTCATCAAAATCTGTTCTCAATGTAATCACCAGATCTAATGATTAATTCATCTGTACTTGTCCAACGTTGCTAAATAAGTTCTTCCCTGTATTTACTCAATCTTATTATGTGAAGTTGCCCCAGGTTTTTTCAGAGGAGATGACATCACTGTTTTCATTTCCAGAAAACCTTAAAAGATCCTCAAATGCTTCATTAAAGCTCTCCAAACAATTCATAGACAGACACGCAGTATGGCTGGATGTGTGGGGCTGTAGAGAGGAGGATGCAGGCTGCTGTGGCTGCAGTAGCTTCTGTACTAACCGGGATCCCCGGGCTGCAGGCAGTTGTAGCCAAATCTCTCTTTAGCTCTAGGCTTTTCTCCTGGGGCTCCTACCTCTACTTGGTTTTCAAAATCTCTGTACACAGAGGGATAATGACACGGGCTTTTAAGTCAGTTCTGCACTGCCAGAATAGATTTAGGAAGGATACCTCTCCATTACTCAGAGACATTTTTTCTTTTAAACCTCGTTTTTTCGATATGCCTTGTACTTTTTCTCCTCTCACACCCCACTTGTAATACTAATGTTGCAAACTAGGATGTGTATTTCCTAAGTGGTTTAAATTTATTCCAGCTGTTGGTTCCCCTTCCTCCTTCTTCAAGCTGGATCCTTCATTTGTGGCATCTCAGCTGGTGACTGCAGGAACAATCGTGATGTCACAGGCAGATGATTAGGACTTCTGCCTGAGAAGAAAAAGCAGGATTTGTGGGGGTCTTACAGACATGGCTTCTGACTTGATGAGGTGTCAATTAGAATAAAAGGAGTGAAAGCACCAGGGAAGTGGGGCAGTATTTGAACAAAATGTGCATTTGCACAGACATCAGGCTTGTCCCAGAAAGCACATTTTTGTGTTTAATTAAAAAATATGTATTATTGGAAAAAGCCCCATCTCATCACCTTTCAAAGATTAAAGTCCCCTCTTCTGAAAATGGTCTGAAACACACCATGTGTGGAACTCAGCATCTTCCTGTGAAGACACAGTTTTGTGCCAGCCCAGGCAACTCTGAAAAATCCAGCACTGAGAGCACCCTCATCATCAATGCTATCAGTGTTTTGCTGAGAACTGAGCTAGCATCAAGGGCTTACTTGCAGAGGTAGCAATAGGGGAGCCAATAGCAAGACCTGCATGAGTTGCACACAGGAGAGCATCCTTCACTTGACAGAACTGCATCCTTTATCTGTCCCATACTGATGTCAGAGCACTATGGTGAGCACTCTAATGAGTGTTGCATGGGCCTTTCGCCGTGTCTAGTCACAGAACAGTCACTCTTTTTTTTCTCTTTTCTCTAAAGGGAACCACAGGATTTGAAGCACAAATTGATAAGTGCTTGGAACTTGCAGAATACCTATACAACAAAATAAAGAACAGAGAAGGGTATCAAATGGTGTTTGATGGAAAGGTATGTACTATAACTGCTTTTTTCCAGTTGGTCACCTGAACTTACTGTAGATACCAGGACGCTACCAACAGGTCAAACCTACAGCACGTGATAGCACTCAGTGCCCTTGTATCAAAACCTGTTATTGTGCTGATAACCTTCTTCCTTAGAGGACCCAGGGACGAGGCATAACTTACCAGTTTGTACAATGTCACCCCACTTTACCTAACAGTGACATCTCAGGATAAAGCACAACACGCACAGTCAGAACCAGCTTTCAAACAGTAAAAAGCAGCTGTTGTTTTGTAATTCCAGGGTCTGTTAGGAATGCAGGTTGCAGCACAATGCGGGGCTGGTGCTGCTTGGGCTCATGTGGCAGCAGTGACACCATGTTCCTTCAAACATGTTGCTATGCAGTTTATTTCCCACACCTTGCACATCATCACTGAATTTGGTCCATTGAGTCTGATGATTGGTAGAGATACTGACAGCAGTCAGAATTTCTGTAGCTCACATGTTCAGCGTAGAGAAACACAGCAAGGAAAGGAACTGCTAGGAGACTGCAAAAATACACAAAATGTCAGCTGATTCTGCCTTCCCACTTCGTGCTCCCACATTAAGTTAAACTAACTAGGATGCATATGAATACAGAAGATAGTGGAATCAAACAGAGCAGTAATAAATTTTATTATATATACAAAAATGTTAGACTATTTCATATACCACCTGTGACTGCTGTTTACAGGTCTGGATTCTGCATTATGCTGTCATGTAATAACAGTAAATGGCACAGTCCTCACCTCTAAATTATCTCTGATAGTCTCTCGCCTTATCCATACGTTCCCTTCAGCCTCTGGGGGACAGCACCTACAAAATCTAGATGCTTCTCAGGAGGGGGTAAATATATTTGCACATCTGGGTGATGTATTTCTGCAATTGACATCCTAGAAATAAATTGCCTAAAAATTATCCTTTCTGCATTAATAACGATGATGACTCTCAGTGGACCACAGTAATGAAAACCATTCATTGCTGTCACAATATGATTCATGAGAGGGGGAGACAGCGTGAGTTTAATTGCAATTGAGATATTGTGAGCATTTCTTACAGTGTAAACCACTGTTATTCTGTGCTTAGCCTCAGCACACAAACGTCTGCTTCTGGTATATACCTCCCAGCTTGCGCAGCATGGAAGACAACGAAGAAAGGATGAGCCGCCTCATGAAGGTAAGCAGTGTCCCCAGGGTGTCATGCACTGAGCAGCAAAGACCTTCCGGGCAGGCAGGCCCAGAAATGATCTTCAGGGCATAGGGTCTGGTCAGCTGGCTGTATTCTGGCAGATGACACTTTCACGGTCATCTTGCTGCAGGTTAGTCTGGCACCACTTCACTTTGGCCTCCAAGTTCAGTATTCTTGAGCTGGCCTCTTCTCTGGAGTTCTTACTGAAACCCTGTGTATATTCACTGAGGTTAATGTAAACAGCAATGAATGAGCCCCACGGATGCAGCAATATGTATGCACTTTGCCATACAAAAAGAAGATGGAAAACAATTGCAACTTGTTTTGAGCACCACAAGAACCAGTTACCATGTGCTAATTGCCTGTGAGCAAAACTGAGAAAGTAGGGGGGAAATTCCCCAGTGATTTAAAGAGCAGGACAAAGAAACTGGATAAACCCAGTATATTTCAAATGAGCCATTTATTCCTTAGCCATTTATTCCTTAATGGAGGTTAACTGCTTTATCAATATTGGACTGATTTTCACCTTAACAGCTTCTTACATCTCTTCATCCTACAAAAAAAAAAACAAACAAACAAACAAACAAACAAATCCCATCTGCTTTTTAGTTGTAATAATAGTAATAGTATTCATCATCATCATCATCCCCTGCTTCTTGTTGAACACCACTGCAGGTGGCACCAGTGATAAAAGCAAGGATGATGGAATATGGGACGACCATGGTGAGTTATCAGCCTCTGGGAGACAAAGTGAACTTCTTCCGGATGGTCATCTCAAACCCAGCAGCAACTCATCAGGACATTGATTTCCTGATTGATGAAATAGAGCGCCTGGGACAAGATTTATAATAACCGGGTGTGAAAGGCTGTTCCTGGACCTCTAAGTAGACAATTAAGTTGTCACAAACTGTGCGAATGTATTTGTAGTTTGTTCCAAAGTAAATCTATTTCTATATTGTGGCGTTGGAGTAGAGTACAGTTTAAAATCAAAAAAAACATGGCTCCTTTAAAGTCCTTTCCTGAGTTTTAGAATACCTCGTTAATAATTAGCTTCACAAAAAAGCTGCATTGAAACAAATGAGGAAGAACAGAAGATGTTTAAAATTTTATCCCAAATTTTAACACGGGGACTACTTTAAATTAAAAGCAGTCAGACCAAATGATGCCAAATTTGCCCCAAATGGTGACAAAATCAAATTAAGGGAATAGGGAGAGGGTAGTGAGAAACAGAGCATACAAGCTGTTTGTTTAAAAGTGGAAGTATTTTGCCTTTTTCATAGTATTAGAACAGAATTTCTAATTTACCTATAACAGTAGTTCAAATGTATTTAAATAGGTATAGTTTTACAAAAGGAAATATATATATATATATATATAAACCCTATTTTGTAAAATATATATTTTTGTTTTATATGGGTTATAAAACTGCAAGGACAGAAGCTGAAAATTAACTAGAATTCTTTTTCTTTTGATGGAGGTGCCTCAAGTATTTATTACTGCTTATTTTAAATCATAAGCCCACATACATTCTGAAGAGGTACCCATACCTCATTTCTCCATGTCACATGGATTGTAGGTCTCCAGGGTTGATTACCGGAAAACCTCAAGAGTACTGCAGCTCTTAAAACCACTTAATAAGATCAATTACAGTACAACAATAGGATGCTATTATTCCTAATTATGTTTCCCACTTGGCCTAACTAAGCAGACGCACAATCAATCTACAGCGCTAACCAAGACTGAAATAAGGTTGTATTTGGATGGTTTCTTTGTCCTGTGGTAAAAAAAAGCCTATCCAAAAAGTCACGTGTCTGAATAAGTGCTTACATCATAACCATTTCTGCTCTGAGCAGTACAAAACTGTACAAAATATGAATTGCCTGGAATGCTTTCTAAAGAAAACTTCATTAAGAGGGGAAAGGCTTCTTATGGATGTACAGGTCTGCAGGACGAGGCCTAAACTAGACATGACCGTAATCCAGATGGCAGTGTTGGAGGTTGTTTGAGGTTGTTGGAGGTTGAGTAACAAACTGTGTTGTCAAAGGTTCTCCCAACGCTGGACTATGTCCTTTGCTACAACTTTTTAAATGTCAGCAAATGAATGAACTTAGGCCACATCTGCCTAGAATAGCCCATGCAGAGCCTCAGCAGCCTTAGAAGCCATGGGTATGACTCTTGCAGAACTCATTGCTGGCCCATTCCTCACCATTAGCAGTGACTCTGAGAAGGCAGCTGATGTTTATCCTCTTTTCCCCTTCAACAGCTGGAAGTGTCGGTAGGAATTACGGGGCTCAGGTCTGTCTATTTATAACCCTACAAAAGTTTTGGTTTTAACTTTGCCTTCGTGGCCAACTTGTGTTTGTAAAGCAATATTGTTTTGCTGGCTCTAACATACTTGAAGAGAAAATAAAAAGTGCAAGTGCAATGTGGTTTTAATTTAATCTAAAATAAATTAAGTATTAATTCAACATAATATCATGAGGACGTGAAGTAAGAGGAAATAGTGTCTGTAATTGTGTTGCCTTTATTATATTGATAGTACTGTTTTGTCACCTCAGATTGAGGCTGTGCACTTTAGATTTAAACTGTACAATGTTGCAAATCAACATGTGTTGCTGTATAAGCTTGTACAATATATTATTGATATGTCATTATTTGTGCGGTTGTAGTATTGACTCTTGATATTGTAAGAACTGCATTTACGCCAGTCCCTCTGCTATACCTTTGCTTGGTAAGAACCTCTCCTTGTGGGCTTTTAGGCAGCCCTCAACTCATTTGGGTGTGTCGCCATGGCTACCTATGGTGCATACTGTGGCAATTTGTTCTGTAGAGGAGGTGCCAGTTGTGGCAGGAAGGACTTCAATGTAACCTACTCCAAATGTGCCACATCCACCAGTCTAACCACTGAGATACTGAGTAGAGCAGCAAATTACAGCCTTTCTTGCTGTGAAAAAGGCAAGCAAAGAGCATAGACATAAGAAGTATGGGGACAATGGTGAAGGTGATCAGTAGCCTGGTTACATCTTGCATGTGCAATTCTGTTTTAAACTACTAAGTGCATACGATGTATTTATTAGTTGTGTGTGCCAAACCAAGATTCACATTTGGTGTTCCAGGAGAACCAGCATTTTTTTCCACATTACAATGTTTATTGCAGCCAGGAAAGAGTGGCACAGCAACCTGTTCTTGTGTTTGACCAAAGTATCTTATCTGTGTTGTTGATCTAAATCCAAATAAAAGTGTAAAATGTGGCTGTGGGTCTTGTCATTAGCAGCACCGATGGGCACTGTGCAAAAACCAGATTTGTCATGTGTGCCGTTTCGGAGCAAGGCCCCAATAAAGAGAATGTTTAATTGTACCCCTTTCTGTGTCTCTGGATTCTTTTTTCGCAGCAAATGCATTCTGTTAATTACTGTAACATAAAAACAGTTTCATCACCAGACCCTTTTTGAGGCTATTCTCAGAATCAGCATAAAAGTGTAAATCTGCCATCTGCTACTCCTTTACCTTATCTTTACAAGACGGATTTAGTTGCCTTATTCTCCCCAGACAAGCTCAATAATTTTTTATGCTTTGTTTTGTCTTTTCATTCTACGAGCACTTATCCCCAAATTAACCATCAACCATAATCAGCCTGCAGCACAGCAGTGAAAGCAGTCAGGGCGCTTTCCAGGGCAACATGAGCTATACAATGGCAACATTTTAAGAGGGCCATGAAATAAAGACAAAACAACTGATGGAAAAGTTAAGATTTGAGTCCCCATGTCTCCCCTGGCCGAAGGCCTCATTCTTCCAAAATCTGCCACCTGTCTGCCCTATTTTCCTTCCGCCATCTGAAGAGCTGCACAGACTACAATAGATACAGAGAAAGAAAAGAAAATGATGCTGTTAAAATACAGCATTTAGGATGTTTATGTTCAACATGAGATTTTGTTTGCTATTTCTGTAAGTCTGCAGCAGAGTTTGAGATGAATGCCTGTGCACAGTACCTGGCTCAGCTAGAAGCTCTATAAGGAGATATAGAGTGAGAAACACTGGGTGGTGAATGTTCTCCTTGCCCTGATGAAGCTCTTTGGTTGGTGTTGGGACAGGAAGTACTGTTACCATTTTTGCCTACTCTCACGTGTGTGTGCATGAAGCCTGGTTTTTGCTGTAAGCCCGTTGCACCCCACGCTGTGTGACATGTCCCTGTGAGATGGGATTGGAGCAGATCTGCCTGTGGCAATCAGGGACTTCCTGGCAACTCCTGGGGAAGGCAGGAAGGTTGGTGAGCAAGAAGTTCCTGTAACAGCCTGGGTAACAACTCTCCACTGAGACTGCTCTCCTTTGAGTTCTCACATCAGAACTAAAGTTGCTTAGCTGTTTCCCTGCTCTTTACCATGAAACCCCTAGAAAAGCATCTGCACAGGGAGAAACAGGGATCTATAAGAGGAGATGACTAAACTCATTGTGAAAGTGTACCTCACAGCAAGCTTGTGTCTGCCATTGGCCACTTCCCATGCTGCTGAGCATTCACACAAAGTTGCAGGAGCCATCACTCCCTCAGGATGCTCCAACCACCCCTCCACCTCACTGTGCTGCATCTGCCTCTCAACATCCTTCACCTGCATCCTGCCCATCTCATTCCTCTTGCTCCTTTCCCACAGATGTATATGAATATCTCATCCATCTTTAAAACTTGATGAGACCTTCTTTAAAAATGCAGCTTGCAAGTTAAAACTCTATCCAAGAAGTGCTGCTGAAATGATGGAGGAAGAGTCTAGAGGAGCTTTTTGCACGAGAACTGGCTCATGGTGATGAAGTCTGTAGCTACAAAGAACAGCAAGATATTATTTTAAAGGGATTTCTTGACAATGTGTTTGCCTGGAGAAGTGACATTTAGTAACTAATACTTACTGAGAGGCTAATGCAGAAGCAGCAAATATAGATGGGCTCTCCTGCAAAACCCCAGCCCTGAAGCCACATTAGTCAGAGTACCAGAGAGGCAGAGGGGCAGGTGGAAGTAGGAGAGGCTTTTCTGGACCATCCAAGGACATGGCCAATGAGGTGGTTGGCTCTCCAACCTCTATGACTGTGGTTCCTTGTGAATATGGTCCTCCATAAACAGCTTTCAGAAGGGACCCAGAGAGAAGCCCTTACCTTCCCTGAAGACATAGCTCCAAGAATGGCAAATTTAAATACCAATTTAATTGTTTAAAACTCATATTCCAGCACGGTTAAGGAAGAAACAAAGCAAGACAGAACTCAAGTAGTGGTAAATTTTCTATATCTTCTGACTTAGAGCTAGGCTAACCGACAAGCAGAAAATTATCCTAAGTAGGAAATAAGTCCCATAGAAATCCACAGGATACTGTCTATAATGTGCCAATGTCTTAGACTTACAATGTCTGCATTATCAGTTTTCTACCTGACCAGCTTAAGTAAAGGGAACAATTTGACCATTAGGGGAAAGCCAGGTTCTGCAGCTGGAAGAATTACAGAGCTGGTTTTGCTGCTCACTGGGAAGACAGAACGGCTCTGGGTTGTGGCACTGTTAATTATGTCACAGAAGGAGGCAGGTGTATAGATTTTACAGTGTACTGTGGAGCAAGAAATTGGGTCTGAGATTACAGTCAGAGAAAAAAGGATTATGTGCTTCTTTTTTGTGTTAGAATAAAAGCCTATGTACCTTGAAACTCTTGCATTAGGAAGAAAGATGAAAAATCTGTTACATAAGTTCACATTGCAAGAACAGAGCAAAGGCTGTTTACTTAAGGCCCAGAAAAGTCACGAGTTGAGCAAGGGTGGAAAACTCCAATGATCTCACCTCTCCACAACAAATACCCCTAATGCCTAGTGCCACATCCTTCAAATGCTTTCAGACATCTAAGTTCCATGATAGGAACTGGTTTAATCCCAGCCCTCAAAACCACTCATTCTCAGTCTGTGACCTTAAAGCCACGTGGATGATTTCTCAGAGGTCTATGACTGATAACCGGGGAGAAAAAGTTCATGTATGGTGTTGATGAGTTGATGGTTGGACTAGATGATCTTAGTGGTCTTTCCCAACCTTAATGATTCTGTGGTTCTGTGATTCTGTGTACTGCTCTGCAGTGTATGAGATTTCTAAGGGGGTCCTCACAGCCTGCAGAGAGATTTTAAAGACTCACAAACCTGAAGAGCTTGAAAACTCCACAACTGGGCGATGGCT